CTAAAATCAAAATTAATTTCAAAGCGGACGGATCATACAATTCAAGTAGTAAGGCGTTTCTCGCTGATCAACAGTCTTTGTTTGATACACATATGTCCCTATTATACCTTGTCAATTCATTGTAAAGCAGAGGAACCGCGTTTAACTTTCCGTATCTGTAGACCTTTAACGATAGTTTTATAATTTTTTTGGCTTAATTCGACCGCGCTATAATACTATAGTTGAAATAGCGAAACGTACGTTATATACGCATAGCCTACTTTAACCTTGCCGCGAGAGAGACCCCAAGAAAAGAAAACAAAACACACACAAACAAAAGACAATGCGTCCGTCGAAGCCGACGCTGATGATCAGATCGTTCCCCATTCTTTTGTTTCGACAATCGTAATAAAACGCAACGACCACCGAACAACACAAAAAAAACAACAGAGAAATTTTTTAATCGTGCGAGTTTTCCCGACCGTTCAAACGTTGATTTCGTTTCGCATTTTGCTCAATACTTAATGGTTAAGACCTGGGAACTCGACGGAGATGTATTTTCTAATGTATTGCGACATTTTCTCTTTTTTTTTTCTCTTTCGATTCATTCATTTTTAATTTTGATTGCTTCAGGCGTCGTACTTTCCCGCGGTCATTCAATTTCGTATCTGGGTAAAATATAATTACGGGTTTGTCGGAAATTAATGCGTATTTACTGCTGGTGTATTTTGAAATTTCGTTTTATTTACAAGGAAATAATGGAATGGGAAAAATCATTTTCTGCGTAGTAGATTGTACTCATTAAGCGAAAATAAGTTTAGAAATTAAATAAGGTAACTAATAATACCTACCTGAGTACCTATGGTATTAACTTAAAATTATAGTGTGATATTTAATTAATTTTTTGAATTCGCCAGTGATTGTAATATTAATTAAACATCAAATCTGGTGTCAATAATATCTGCTATAAAAAAGACTAAACTGAAAATATTTCGATTTTTGTACGAATAAAAACTGACCCACTCTCGTAACTAGAGTATAAAGAAACGTATTTCTTTATTAGTAGTATCTGTATAACAATTTAATGAAATTTAGAAAAAGTATATTTTACAGGATTACTCTACTTTTAGTAATCAAAGAAACCCAAAGGAAATTGTGGAAGGATTAAAACTACTCTCATCTCCTGATATATTTTTATTTTGTTAAGGGTTGTAATACGGGTTTTTAACGGAAAAGGCGTAATCGTCATTTTAATTTTTTGACTCTTGTAAAAACTCCCTATTTCGCATAATTTCGAAGGAAAAAAATGTTTTTCTACACCCGCATGGATATTGTTAGGATAGTTTATTTTAAACAACAGTTTATTTGTTAATAATTTATTTGAACACTTATTTATTTTAAAACAATACTATTCTAATTTATATACTTCTAATGTCTTTAAACTGTTCACTATTTATCTTCACAACTGTCTATATACGACTGACTGCTCCTTTGTTCCTCCACCAATATTTATATACACAATTAAAATTCTGGTGGATTCCAGAATGCTCCCCGCCAAAACTAGAAACTTCACGTTCTTCTTGGAATGTACTCGAAAGCGCCTTCGCTATAGTAGTCACATATGTTTGGTCTTAAGGGATTTAATTATGTATGATAATCGGACAAGTTGAGCCTCAAAGCCAAATAAGACAGAAAGGGGCTTGGAGGATTAGACCATGACTGAATAATGAAATGGCTCGCATTACAATATTATCTTATCTACGCACAGATTACAAAACGAAAAAGTATGCTATTGCCTTCAACTGAACGAATATATTTAATATATTATCCATTCTAGGTAGTGAGAACACTGCGAAAAAAACTAAATCCACCAATCACCGTTCATATTTTGATCAACCGACTGCTATTATTTTTAAAAATTTTAAATAAGTGACAATTCTGTCAAACTAATTGTTAGTATTTTTTTAATTATTGAGATTAAACATACATTAAAATGAGTTATTCTTGTATAGATTCGATAAATAGTAGCATTCCTGTTTTTATTTCGTCTATAATTATAAATAATTTGTTAATTTAAATAAAACTTTACGAAGTCAATTTAATTAGGAGTATTAGAGCAACAAAAATAAAAGAATAGGTGGCCCTGTAGTTAGCGTTCTTGCCTTCCACACCGAGGACTCAAGTTCGATTCTCGTTTATTTTATTTCATAAATTATTAAGTCATAAATTATTTTAAAATTAGTTATTTTGTCTTAATAACCTAAAATATTTTTTTATTTGTAAATTTTCGTTAGTGGGTCGTAGAAAAAATATACTGTACAACGAGAGTGGAAATCCACATCGCACTCGGACGATTGAGCACCCCGCCTACGGCGTCGTGCTCAAATTTCGTCTACGTGCGATATGACCATCATATCCACTCATGTTGCACAAACTACTATTTTTCTACACCCACATGGATATTAGCTTATCTACGCACAGACTACAAAACGGAAATGTATGCTATTGCCTTCAACTGAACGAATGTATTTCATATCCATCCTAGGTAGTGAGAACACTGCAAAAAAAAACGAAATCCACCAATCACAGTTGATATTTTGGACACCCAACTACTATTATTTTTAAAATTTGAAATAAGTGACAATTCTGTCAAACCAATTGACAGTATATTTTTTAGTTATTGAGATTAAATATACATTAAAATTAGTTATTTTTTTGTAGAATCGATAAATAATAGCATTTTAATTTTTATTTGGTCCATATTTAAAAAAAAAACATTAAATTTTAGTCAAACATATTTTAATTACGAGTATTAAAACCAAAATCTTAAAAGTGGCCGTGGACGAGGAGCGAGGACAGAGCGCTTGCCTTCCACGCGAAAAGCCGGGGATCGAATCTCAGCTGGGGGGACTAATTAAATATTTTTTTTAATGTTTAGTTTATTTTAAAAATAGTAAAATTCATAAATTATTTTAAAATTAGTTATTTTGTCTTAAACCTAAAATATTTTTAAATTGGTAGATTTTCGTTAGTGGGTCGTAGAAAAAATATACTATATATGGATTGTACATACATATCGCATTCCGCCTACAGCGTCGTGCCCAAACTTTGTCTTCGTGTGAAATGGCCATAACAAACCACCCATTTTGCACAAACTACTATTCTCAAACACTACCTGTTCTATTTTTTGTGTCCATGGGCAACTAAATTTTGTACTACAATCTACAATATTAAACTTGTACTAAGAATGTAATTTTTTTAGTAAACTTTGAACTTTTCTCACAGACGAAGGTATATTTTGGTTCCAATCGGCTTATTTTGATCTTTACAATATGTGGTAGCTCTATGCCCAAGCAATTTTGGTACACCCTGTATACAGTGTGCCTAGTTAAATTCGCAGCATATGGAAAACCTTTTTTATTATAAATTTTGCGGAAAAAGCTATTCTTCATAAAAAGTTCTGCACAGTCTAATATATAAAAAAAACAACCATTATATACAGGGTGGGTCACCGGTAACGCCTAGGTTTTTTACTTTTTTACAGCGGTATGTATATCGGAAAAGGCAATGATTTAAAAAAAATAATCATACAGGGTTCTCCAAGAAAGTGATACATATCAAAGTTAGGTTTTTTAATAGAACACCCTGTATTTTATTTTATATTTAAATTTGCCCTCGCTTTTCCCATTAAAACAATACCAATTATGCAATTTGAGATTATACAGGGTATTTCTCACGTTATAACCAGTTTTGTATAAAAATCGTATTGATATCAATGGGGTCTGTATATACAAAAGAAACAATTGAAAATCAATTGTTTTGCAGTAAAAGTTTTTCGATGTTAGTTGACATCTTATGCCGAATCACTACTTTTTTTTAATTCGAAACAAATCTTACGTGGTGAACAAAAAATCAAATACATCCTTTTCTCTTTTATTAATGGACCACCCTGCATTTTATATCACTGTTTAAAAGTACATTTATTAAAGTTTCATTTGAGTTAAGCATTCCATATACCTAAAGTTGATAATTTTGGGAGATTTTAAAATTTATATTAGAAAAAAGATAATTCAAAAATAGTATCAACTTAGGATTCACCCTGTATATACAATATATTTTTCTTTCACAATGCTACAAAAACAGATAACTCAATTTAAAAAGTAATTTAAATGGACCATGGCTTTCGAGAGCACAAACACTTGTGGTTAACGTTTTTAAGCATTCTGTACCACAAATATTTTGGACAGGTGTTGTTTTTTTAAAAAAAAATGTTCAATTTTATATTAGAGTGCAGTTTTAAAGGGTGAGAACATTTTATTTCTTTGGAAATTTGCATAATTTGTAAGGAAACAACAAAATGTTCTCACGTGGTATTTGGGAAGATTATTTAACAATACAAACGGAACTTTTATAAACAACATTTACTTTGTTTCCGCACCAATGTTTTTAAATGCAATTTGTGGTTTTATACGGCTCGATTTGGAATAAAAGCGGATTGTCATTAGTTGATGTGCTATAGTGTTAAATAAATAATCAATCCTAATCAATATTTCTTTATAACAATTTTCGGTATTGTCCAAAATAAAGGTACTTTAACTCTTGCACAAAATTCATATTATTTGACAAACCTCGTATACAACGGATACAATTTGATAATATGATGGTTGGATTTTCAGTTTTAGACCATGCCGGAACTTTTTATGACAAATAACTTTTTTTCTTAAAATTAATGATAAAAATTTTCCTTAGTTTCATACAGTTAGCTTGTTTAAAATTAATTGACGTGACCTCGTATATAATTATGAATTATAACACAAGGACCGATTGATAATTGGCAGAAAATATTTTTAGTTAACTTAGAATTTATAAAACTCACAAGGGAATTATTAAGTATAATACGAGGAACAATCAAAATTTATCAGTATTTTTTGCAAATTTAGATTTTGTATTTTTTTTATTTTTAAAAACGCTTTTCAGTATTGTAAAATCGAATTTAAAAACCATTTATTTGTTTTTTTCAGGTACTACCTTCAGCCACGATCGGCAAAAAATCGACCGTTTTTAACTCATTCAACACCTCCCGGTTCTCGTCTCTCGAGTGACAACTCTTTAGGATCTTTAAGGCTTCAAATCCAGTATACAGAAGATAGGGTATTTCCCTCTTCTGTATACGACGGACTGAAAAATCTCTTATTAGAAAGTACAAATATTCAAGTAAGTTTATTATTTAATTTATTTGCACTATATTCTCTTTATTTGCAACTTAATCTACTTAATACAACACTAATTTATCTGAAATACTTATTTTGGCAACATATATCTTAAAACATTGATCTCTAACTATAAACTGGTTTATTTATATACAATACAATTTCTCGAATGTTATCGCATTCACCAAAATATACGTAGACAGACTCGCCATTTTATAGACTGACGCTTCCGGTAAATTCTTGAATATTCAGATCGGTGTATTGACCAAATTGTAGAAGTCAACGGTTCACAACGTAATCGTAAAAATGGAGGTCGTAAGAGGCCAAAATAAAGAAAAGAGGGACTTAAGGGGATTAGAGCATGACCGGACTGGTCGAAAATGGTTCGCACGACACTACATTAGTCTTATATTTAGTTTAATAGTGAGGTTTTTTTTATTTATTTGTTTGTTTCTTGCAGCCTATCACAGCTACTTCCGTTTACGTCCTCGGCGAAATTATCAACAAAATGGACATTGCACAGCCTTTGGTGAGGATCTTCCTGCATTACGATAAAATAGTACCGATCATTAAATCCCTAGCTAACGTAGAAATCTCCAACGTTACGTGAGTATTTTTTTACCATAAATAGTTTAAACTCCAAAATGTGTAAAATAATTCTAAAAATGTTTAAAATTAAAGGTAAGACAGGCCAAATCAAATCAGATAACATTAAATATTCAAAAAAGGTTATTGTTGCTTTTTAAGTTAAAAAAATATTGCAGAATCATCCTACAAAGGCAGAGATATAAGGGTTAGTCAATATTTTTGAAATTGTTGATTTTTAAATTAAAAATACCATCTTAAAAAATATTGCACAATGTACAATGATATAGGGGTCGGTCAATATTTTTAAAATTGTTGATTTTTAAAAGTAAAAATACCATCTTAAAAAAATATTCACAATTCTCGTACGAAAACAAATAAATAAAGCTACCATTTGGGAAGGCGCGATCTGAGACCGACTTCAAGCGTAAGACGACAGCGAGGGAGACTGAAATGGTCTCTTCACGTCTAAACACATTTAATTATGTGTACCACAATTGGGAACGCACGACAGACTACAGCAGATTTAGTATGGTCTTACGCTGTGGTCTGTCGTTTGTCTTTCGTTCCGAAATAGTAGCTTAAGGGTTCATCAATATTTTTTAACTATGGTTGAGTTTTGAAGGTCCAAAAGATTACACAATACTCATACAAAGACATAACGTTCGATCAATATTTTTGGAATTGTTGATTTTTGAAAGTAAAAAATACTATCTTAAAAAATATTGCACATTCCTCGTACAATGATATAAGGGTGGTCAATATTTTTGAAATGTTTGATTTTTGAATATAGAACATCTTTAAAAAAAATATTGCACAATCCTCAGACAAAGACAGTGAGGGTTGGTCAATATTTTTTTATTGTTGATTTTTGCAGGTACAAAAGATTACACAATACTCATACAAAGACATAAGGTTCGATCAATATTTTTAAAATTATTGATTTTTGAAAGTAAAAATATTAACTTAAGAAATATGGCGCAATCTTCGTACAAAGAGAAAAATAGAAGGGTCGATCAATATTTTTGGAATTGTTGATTTTTGAAAGCAAAAAATACTATCTTAAAAAATATTGCAGAATCCTCGTACAATGATATAAGGATCGGTCAATATTTTTTAAATAGTTGGATTTTTGAAAGTAAAACATCTTAAAAAAATATTGCACAACCCTCGTACAATGATATAAGGGTCGGTCAATATTTTTGAAATGCTTGATTTTTTAAAGTACAAAAATTACACAATACTCATACAAAGACATAAGGTTCGATCAATATTTTTAAAATTGTTGATTTTTGAAAGTAAAAAATCAACTTAAAAAATATGGCACAATCCTCGTACAAAGAGAAAAATAGAAGGGTCGGTCAATATTTTTGGAACGGTTGATTTTTGAAAGTAAAAATTCAATCTTAAAAATATTGCAGAATCCTCGTACAATGATATAAGGATCGGTCAATATTTTTGAAATGGTTGATTTTGAAAGTAAAACATTCTAAATAAAATATTGCACAATCCTCGGACAAAGACAAAAATATAAGGGTTGGTCAAAATTTTTTTTATTGTTGATTTTTGAAGGTACAAAGGATTACATAATACTCTTACAAAGATATAAGGTTCGGCCAATATTTTTGATTGTTTTAGTAAAAAAAAAGATTGCACAATTCTCGAACAAAGACATAAAAGTTTCCGTCAATATTTTTGATTGTTTAAATAAATAAAATATATATATATATATATATATATATATATATATATATATATATATATATATTGCACAATCCTCGTACAAAGACAAATATATAAGGTTCTGTCAATATTTTTGAAATTAATTAATAGTTAAATGTTCGAAACAAGATTAATATTGATTTTTAAAATATGTTAGGGACCCCACGACGATATTCAGGGGGAACACATTGGTTTCGAAAATGATGGACGAGGCTATGAGGCTCATAGGCTTACAGTACTTGCACAAAACCTTAAGGCCGACTTTAGAACTGATTTTCAACGAAAGAAAACCTTGCGAGATCGACCAAACTCGCGTGAGAGACGCCACCACCATTGCCACCAACCTAGCCAACCTTAAGGTAAAAAATAAACATTCGGCGCGCCAAATTTTCAATTTAATATTTTTCAATTTTTAATTTTTAGTGCTACATTCAAAAAATCTTCGAAGCCATAACTCAGAGCGCCGTCCACTGTCCGGCGTTGATGTGCCAGATTTTCCACAATTTGAAAGAGTGTGCCATGAAGCATTTCCCAGAAAACAAAGGAGTTCGTTATTCGGTCATATCAGGGTTCATTTTTTTGAGGTTCTTCGCTCCCGCCATATTAGGTCCCAAATTATTTGATCTCACCAACCAACCTTTGGTAAGTGCATTTTATAGAATACAACCTTGGATAAGGACGTTTTAATCATTTTTATCGGAAAAAAATGATTGTACAAGCGTCGTATGATGAAACTATACATAACTTCTCAATTTTTTTCTTGAAATTATTTGTTAATGCCGAAAAATATTACATAATCTTCGTAAAATAATAAAGTTTAGGCTTTTTAGGTGACTTTTTTTTAAAAATTCTCGGTTTTTATTGAAAAGCTTGTTTAAGCGTAACAAATATTGCACAATCCTCGTACAATATCGAAGATACAAGGGTCGATCAATATATTTTTATTTTATAATAATAGATTTGGAAATCCTGCTACGTAATTATGAAAATTACACCCTGATATCCCCAAAGTGGAAACAAAGCAAACAAAAATTGAAAAAGCGAGAATTAAAGAAAGAAAATATGGGTGCCCGACCAGAAATCGAACTCGGACCTCAGACTTGGGCCGTCTGAACTGTACCAATTAAGACATCGCAGCACATACGCTTTGATGTCTGAATTCGTAAATTTGAAGTCAATTATACTAGTTGAAAGGTAAAAAATACCATGTTAAAAATAATGCACAGTCCTCGTACAAGGACAAAAATATAAGGTTCGGTCAATATTTTTTGTTTTCGAATTAAAAGAAATAACATCCTAAATAATTTTGTACAAATATAAAGATATAAGTTCGGTCAATATTTGTAAATTTTATGATTTTTTGAAGGTAAAAAACAAGCTGTGTACATAAGTGACAACATTGGATAAGGGTGGTTCAATCTATACCGTTAAAAAATTATTACGCAATCTCATATAATGATATTATATGGGTCATTCTCAGTTGAGACGTAAATCGCTTATTGATAAAACGCGGCACGACAAAAATTTTGAAATTAAAATCAAATTTTACAATGGTTCGATCAAAACAATCATTTCAAACGTGCCTGCAAGACGGTCAGTCAATTTATTGATTTTATCTCGTTTTATAAGATGCCAGGGGAGATACTCATCCAGGGCAGAGACTTAATGTACAGAGTAGAATACTTTGTGATTAGAGAAAGGATTTTAACATTATTTTATGAAAGCAAACAACATTTTATTGAAGTATTAACTTTATTCAGTCATTTTATAATTTTATTTATCAATAATTAATTGATAATAATTAGTATTTAAAGTTTTCATATCTCCCCTGGATATCGTGTCTTTCCCCTGGCCCTTACAAGACAGGGGAGATAAAAACAGGGGAGATACTTTTTAGTAACAAAAATAGAAATAATGACAAATGTATTTATTGTATGAAATTAACCAAGAAAAGTTAGAATCTATTAACAACGAGAAGTAAATATACGAATGAATTAAATTTTTTAGATGAATATTTTAAAAATAAAACTTGCCAGGGGAGAGACTTCGTTCACTCGTTGTCAACTGTATGCACAGACTGCCAGTAACGAAATAAATGACTAAATGACTGCGCCCCTAGTTCGAGTGGCTCTGTTACAAACTATACACTCAACAACGTTCGCTCAAGGTCTTCAATTCTCGCAAGTCAGTAAACAAATGCCGATTTTACACAAAAATAAGCGTGCCAGGGAACGAGACGCAAAATACGGGGGACAAACGTAAACGTAATTTTTTTTTAAGAAAAAAAAATATCACGCAATTTTACTTGCTTGATTACGATAATTTATTTAAATTATTTTGTTGAAATGTATAATTTAAATAAGTTATTTGATTTTCAAGTACTTAAAATTACAAATAAATAAACAGAATCGGCCCGGGGACAAGCCAGGGGAGAGATGTTTTCCGACTTTGAGGTGAAATTGTGACTAAATTAAATAAAATTAAGAAATGAATTTGAGTGACCAATTATATGAGCACGAGTTTTAAGAGAAAATAATATTCTTTTTAATAAAAATTTTTAAAAAAGGTGATTTTTTGTTATGGACGTCGAATTTACGGCTTAACTGAGAATGACCCATATAACGGTTCAAATTTTTTTCTTCTTTTTGTAATACTGAAATATATTACGTAATCCTCGTATAATAATAAAGTTAGGGTTTTAGTTTTCTCGGTTTTTACTGAAAAGTTCTTTTAAGCCTAAAAAATATTGCACAATCCTCGTAATAAAAAGATAGTTCGGTCTTGAAAATCCTGATTTTGAAAGTAAAAAATACCATCTTAAAAAATATATCCTCGTACAAGGTCAAAGATATAAGGTTCGGTCAATATTTTTGATTTTTCAAATAAAAAAAAAAAACTCCCAAAAAATATTGCACAATCTTCATACAAAGACAAAAATATAAGGTTCGGTCAATATCTTTGAAATGATTGATTTTTGAAAGTAAAAATGCTGTCTTAAAAAATATTGCACAATCCTCGTACCGTGAAATTGGTTAAATTGGTCATGTGAGTTTTTCACGATTGTTCAACTTTGAAAAACAGTAATTCATTAAATGTTTCAAATGTTGAAGGCAAACTATATTTATGTTCTCATATTATGTTACACTATTTGAAAAAATTATGTAATACTTTTATTTTTTAAAAAATTAAAAAACCTTATAAAAGTAAAAAAGTGCATACTTAGTTTAGGGTGACATTAATATTAGTATAGAAACACAGACTGCTTAATATACTGTAAACAATGCCTGGAAAGTAAAAAATACGGTCTCAAAAAATTATAGTACAATTCTCGTACAAAGACAAAGATGTAAGGTTTGGTGAATATTTTTGAAATTATTGACTTTTTAAATTAAAAACAGTCTTAAAAAATATTGCACAGTCTTCGTACAAAAACAAAGATATTCGGTATATTTTGAGAGCAAAAAATATTGAACAATCCTCGTACAAAGGCATAAGGTTCGGTCAATACTTTTGATTTTCGAAAAAAAAAAAAAGAAGTACCATCTAAATAATTTTGTACAAATATAAAGATATAAGCTCTGTATATAAGTGACAACATTTGATAAGGGTGGTACAATCTATACTGTTAAAAAATTATTACGCACTCTCATATGATATTGTATAACGGTTCAAATTTTTTTCTTTTTTTTTTAATACTGAATTATATTACGCAATCTTCGTATAATAATAAAGTTAGGGTTTTAGTTTTCTCGGTTTTTACTGAAAAGTTTTTTTAAGCTTAAAAAATATTGCAAAATCCTCGTAATAAAAAGATAGTTCGGTCTTGAAAGAGCTAATTTTGAAATTAAAAAATACCATCTTAAAAAATATTGTACAATCCTCGTACAAGGTCAAAGATACAAGGTTTGGTCAATATTTTCAAATAAAATAAAAATCCCAAAAAATATTGCACATTCTTCATACAAAGATATGAGCTTCAGCCAATATTTTTGAAATTGCTGATTTTTGAAACTAATAAATATAGCACAATCCTCATACAAAGACAAAAATATATGGTTTGGTCAATATTTTTGAAATGATTGATTTTTGAAAGTAAAAATGCTGCCTTAAAAAATATTGCACAATTCTCTTATCGTGAAATGGGTTAAATTGGTCATGTGAGTTTTTCAACATTGTTCAACTTTGAAAAACAGTAATTCATTAAATGTTTCAAATGTTGAAGGCAAACTATATTTATGTTCTCATATTGTGTTAAACTATTTGAAAAAATTATGTAATACTTTTATTTTTTAAAAAATGAAGAACCTCATGTTCAAGTTCATACTTAGTTTAGGGTTGCATTGATTACTACCTTAATATTAGTATAGAAACACTGCATAATATACTGTGAACAATCCCTAGAAAGTAAAAATACCGTCTTAAAAAATATAGCACAATCCTCATACAAAGACATAAGTTTTGATCAATATTTTTGAAATTGATTTTCGAAAGTAAAAATATATAGCACAATCTTCGTACAAAGACAAAGATATAAGGTTTGGTCAATATTTTTGAAATTGATTTTCGAAAGTTAAAAAATATTCTAAAAAAATTTGCACAATCCTTATTTATATTCGACAATGAACGATATAAGAAAAGTTCAATATTTTTTCTTCGTATAGTAACTATTTATTAAATAGTTACGTTAAAAACTGTTGTGTAATTATTATCATAAAATATAGTTTTAGTAATAATTGTAAACGTTAGAATTGTTTAATTTTTGCATTCAAAAATATTGCGCCATTCTCGTACAAAGTTCAAAGTTAATAAAAATAAAGTTTTAATAATTATACGTTAGAATTATTTTTTATGGCAATTATTTAAATCGTTATACTCGAATTATAAAATAAAGTTTCAGTAATAGTTGTAAACATTAGAATTGTTTAATTTTGTATAAAAAATAGTGCGTCATCCTCGTACGTCGATAAAGCTATAAGGTGTGGTTAATAATTTTTGACGCCGTTTTCTGTATGATAAATATAAGGAAAGTTCAATATTTTTACTTTTTAGTAATTATTACTTTAAAAAATATTGTGTGATCCTTATATTGTTATAAAATAAAATTTCAGTGATAGGTGTAAACGTTAAAATTGTTTAAAAATATTGCACCATTCTCTTACCAAAGACAAAGTTCATAAAATAGATTCAGTAAATTAACGGTTACAATAAATTATTTGATTTTTGCTGTATAAAAATATTGCTCAATCCTCGTACAAGACAAAGGTCAATATTTTTGAACTTGATTTTTGAAAGAAATAAAAAACCATTTTAAAAAATATTGCACAATAATTCTAATACAAAGACAATGGAGGTTTGGTCATTATTTTTGAAAGCAAAAAATACCATCCTAAAAAAATATTTTTCAATTCTCGTATAAAGACAAAGATATAAGGTTCGGTCAATATTTTTTGTAAACAAATTTGCACAATACATGTACAAAGACCAAGACATAAAATTCGCTCAATATTTTTGAAATTTTTAATTTTTTAATGCAAAAAAGTTCTGTTTGAAATATTTCTTGTTTAAGAATATTGACACCATTCTAGTACTACGACAAAGTTATAAGGTCAGTAATATTTTTCTTATAATATTATATGTAGGCTTTGTTACTGTTTCCCAGCGCCACTTCAGGAACAGCACTGTTAATTAGAACCCAACAATGAATGGTCGAGTGGGGAATCCCGTCTATGCATTAGGATTAATTTTTTAATGAAATAAATTAAATAAAAATCCCGTCACCGGTGGGATTTGAATCCGGTACCGTTGGATCCGAAAGTACAGAGCCACCCACTCCCGCTTTTATAGCAAATATTATAAAATACAGTTTAAGTAATAATTATAAACGTTAGGTGATTTTTGCGTGAAAAATATTGCGTCATCCTCGTACATCGAAAAAGCTATAAGGTGTGGTCAATAATTTTTTACACCGTTTTCTGTATGATAGATATAAGGAAAGTTCAATATTTTTATTTTTTAGTAATTATTACTTTAAAAAATATTGTGTAATCCTTATATTATTATAAAATAAATGTTCAGTGATAGTTGTAAACGTTAAAATTGTTTAAAAATATTGCACCATTCTCATACAAAGACAAAGTTCATAAAATAGATTCAGTAAATTAAAGGTTACAATAAATTATTTGATTTTTGCAAAATAAAAATATTGCTCAATCCTCGTACAAGAACAAAGACAAGGTTCGGTCAATATTTTTGAACTTGATTTTTGAAAGAAATAAAAAAAATATTTTAAAAAATATTGCACAATAATTCTAATACAAAGACAAATGTTTGACCATTATTTTTGAAAGCAAAAAAATACCATCCTAAAAACATATTTTTCAATCCTCGTACAAAGACAAAGATATAAGGTTCGGTCAATATTTTTTTGTAAAAAAATTTGCACGATACCTTAACAAAGACCAAGACATAAGACTCGCTCAATATTTTTGAAATTTTTAATTTTTTAATGCAACATAGTTCTGTTTGAAATATTTCTTGTTTAAAAATATTAACCATTCTAGTACTACGACAAAGCTATAAGGTTCGGTCAATAATTTTTAATACCGTTTTCTAGATGACATTTATAAAGAATGCTCAATAATATTTATTCTTATAATATTTTTTAATTCGGTGTCATCGGCATCAACTATTAAGGTTATTAGCCTCGTGTTATGTGTAGGCTTTGTCACTGTTTCCCAGCGCCACTTCAGGAACAACACTGTTAATTAGAACCCAACAGTGAATGGTCTAGTGGGGAATCCTGTCTATGCATTAGGATTAATTTTTTAATTAATTAAAGGATTTGAACCCGGAAGACTTGGATCCGAAAGTCCAGAGTCCACTGAGCCACCCACTCCCGCTTCTATAGCAAATATTTATTAAATCGTTATATTCGTATTATAAAATACAGTTTGAGTAATAATTGTATACGTTAGGTATGATTTTTGCGTGAAAAATATTGCGTCATCCTCGTACATCGACAAAGCTATAAGGTTCAATCAATAATTTTTGAAACCGTTTTTATATGAAAAGTATAGGAAAAGTTCGATAATTTATCTTCGTTGTGTTAAAAAATATTGTGTAATCCTTATCATAAAATAAAGTTTCAGTTAATAAGTGTAAACGTTAGAATTTTGTTTTTTTGCATTAAAAAATATTGCGTCATCCTCGTACAAAGTTCAAAGTTAATAAAATAGTTTCGGTAATTAAACGTTATTATAAAAAATATATATTGCGTAGTCCTCGTACAAACACAAAGCTATAAGGTTCGGATAATAATTTTCGCAACCGTTTTCCAGGATTGCCAGACGAACAGGACGCTGACGTTGATATCGAAAACGATCCAGTCGCTGGGCAATCTGGTTAGCTGCAGGTCGACGCAGCAAGTATGCAAAGAGGAATACATGGAAGGGCTCTACAAGGAATTCTACACGGAATCGCACATGACGGCCGTTAGACAATTTTTAGAAATCATTTCGGCCAACACGTCTAGTCAGCAGGTCATCGAAAACGATTTGCCTGTTACGTTGAAGGAGGGGTAAGAATCGGTTTTATTTTTGTTTGTCTTTAGTTATATATTATACCAGTAAACGGAACCTTTATTATGCTAATTATTTGTATTAATAATGACGTTTTTGTTTATGCTGCAGATTAATAACCAGGTATGAAATGTCTTTTTCTTTTTTTAAAAGGAATAACTCTTTGAATCATTATTTGACGTTTCTTGTTACATGTACTATTATCACTGATTATTCCGCTAAATAATCATGACATTTTTTTACAGACTTATGATAAAGAGGGCGCAAGGAAGAAGAAAAACGTTCGGACGGAAAAATTTCAAACAGCGCTTCTTTAAACTTACAACGCACGATCTCAGCTACTCGAAAAGTCGCGGTAAGTTAACCAAACGATCCGTCGTTAATAATTTATACGTAATCAGTAATTTTGGCCCCGATACCTGCTCTTGAGGTACTCATTTATCAGTAATTTATCTCTCTAGGTAAAGACGCGTTGTGTCGAATACCTTTGACGAATATTCTGGCGGTGGAGAGACTGGCCGAAACGTCGTTCAAGATGAAGAATATGTTTCAAATCGTCCAGCCCGAGAGGGCGCTGTACGTGCAGGCGGCGAATTGCGTGGAGGAGAAGGAATGGGTGGATTTACTTACGAAGATCTGTCAGACGAACGCTAATAGGCTTAAGAAGTATCATCCGAGCGCTTTTATCGGCAGCCAGTGGTTGTGGTAAGTCGATTTTCTTTTTAAAAATTTTTAGTTTTTTATTTTTCATAAATTATTCATGTATTAATTTGGGTAACAGCAATTTTTTTTTGTTTTACGTGGTTTTTGGCTTTGACAACTGCAGTAAATATTTCAATACGACACGACATAAAGATATAAATGAACACAAACTCAATTTTAAAATACGTGTATACAGGGCGATTAAAAATATGTTTATAAATTGTAAGTACGGACCTGCAGAGTGGTTTGCAGGTGTAAAAATAGAAATGTTTTCATTTAATAAGTTCAGAATTAGCTTCTATTATATAGTTTTCATTATTTAAGGTTAAAAACATCATAATAATCCATTTTTAACACGTGAAGTGCGAAAAACCTTAAATTTTAGCAATTTCAGACGGAATTCTAGAAAGTATAATGTTTTAATCAGTTTTCTGCTCTGTTAGACCATGTAAATGGATTTTACTAATTTGATGTACAAAGTGTTGTTTTGAGTTCACAATTTATTGATTTTTTTTTTGTCAATACGGACCAGGATAAATGGATGCCTTTTCGTTTTTAAACATTTGAAAAGTCACATCGATTTTAGAAATTTTGAGCTATCGGGATATGTATATCACCATTTGAGAAAAGTTTAATGCTTCAATCTGCATATTCATGGCTCAAACTGTTGCCTAAATATTTAATTTCAAAGTAATTGTATTCTGTAGTAAAAATGAATCCAAATTGGAGCCAAAAACATGTTCTCAAATTTAAAAATATTTGCTTAATATCTCAAAACGAAAAGATTTGGGAACATCAGTGCAGAAAAACTACAGGGGAGATGGGCTTGGGATGTCAACATTATGATTATCATGTTTGATTGCTATAGGTTGGGGACAAGGAAGCATATTTAAATCGGTCTGGCGCTCGCAATTAAATACTGTGAATCTTGGTATTAAACAGACCACGCCTTCTCCACTCAGAGCGCAACCGGAGCCAGGCCTGTTCATCATACAGTCGAAGCAATTTGCGTTATCTGTAAGTTTAATTTAGTGCAAACCATTGGACCTGAACGCGGACTGCGTTATGCGTGGAATTTAGGAGTTAAATTGTGTTTTCTATGCAATGAAATCGTCGATTCATCTTTAAACAAAATGTGTTTTAAAAGTTTAGATTTTCATTGCACTTTCACAAAATTCCATCCGGTAATTATCCTCTCAATTGTTCGGAGTTTATAACGCTAACAATTTCTTTTACAGTGTTTTTATTTTTGTTAACTTGTTCTGCAGTTTTAGTACTAAAACAAGGTTCGCTAGTTTCAACAACAGCACAAACATTTATTTTCCTATTTTCACCCTATTTAACTGATTTTACACATCGACATCACTGCATGTTTGACACTTCTGTACACATCCACATTTCTCAAACTTCTGAATAATCCGAACGAATGTGATAGGGTTTATTTTATTATGTCTTATCGAGTCAACTCCAAAATACCATTTTAACATCTTCTTTGTTATAGTTTATTGTAAATTGCAGGAATCTATCTTATTTTATTATTATTAATTTCTTTGAATGACCTCTCAAGGTTCTTGATGTGTTGGCCTGGAAGATGTTATCACAAGTGTAATATCCGCTGGTCCACTTGGAAGTTTCTATCAAGTCTCCTCTAGTTCTTCTATCCTTTAAACTTAAAAAGTTGTAGTTTGGCTAGCCGATCACAATACTCATTGTTTTGTAGGGTTGGTGGTATTTTGGTGACTCTCTTTTGACTCTTTCCAGTAGTTCAATGTCTTTAACAAAGTATAGATCCAAAACGATATGTGCAAATTCTATCTTTGGTCTTATGTAAGTTGTGTACAGTTTGAGGATCATATCTTCGGAATGGTCTTTAAAAGCTCTTTTGATAAGGTAAATGAGACCGTTGACTTTCTTCACTATATTTAGCAATGTGAGTTTCCCATTTTAAGTCTTTAGATATGATTACACCAAGATCCTTTTGTGTTTCAACTGGAGTTATTGCGACTGTATCCATGGTGTACTCTGTGTGGGATTATTTGGGCCAATGTCTGTAAACTTATTTATGTCAAGGGACCAGATTCCTATTTTATTCAAGTCTTGTTTTATTTAGTGAGAGCTTTCTAGTGGCTTGCAGTAGATCTTTCCGTTGTCTGCATAAAATTTGACTTCGGACTCGATGATTTTACAAAAATCGCTGGTGTATAAAATAAATAATAAGGGACCCAAGACCGAACCTTGTGGTACTCCACTTTGTACTTGATGGTTGTTTGACAGCTGTCCATTTATTCTTATGCAGAACTGCCCGTTGAATAAGAAACTCTTAATCCACAATAATAGATTGCCTCTTATTTCAAAGTGTTCCTGTTTGCTAAACAGCCTTCTATGTGGAACTTTATCAAAAGCTTTCTCATAATCATGATATATCACATCAATTGGCTGGTTGTTGTCATTCCCAGCTGTCCACTGATTAACTGCACTTAGAAGATTTGTAACAACAGATATTTTGGGTGTAAATCCATGCTGATTGTTGGTAAAACTCGGTTACTTCTTTTGTAATAATTTTTTTCATTGCTTTACCGATACAGCTTGTAAGACTGACGTGACGGTAGTTTATGGGATTCTTTTTGTCACCTTTCTTATATATGGGAGTGAGTATAGCCTGTTTCCAGTCCATTGACAGTTCCTGTTTTTGCATAGAGAAATATGGGTGCGATTTCATCTATTCCAGGACTTGAATCTTGTTTAAAACTATCTATTGCAAATTTCACTTTTTCTGGGGTAAATTCTATATTTACGATGCTATTCTCAACTATTTCTGTTGCAGTTATTTGCGGTGATTCTGTATCAGGTTTTGTTGCATTGAACTGTTCTTAGCTTTGTTCTAATAGATCTGATTGAAATAAAAATCGCGCATACGACAACTGGAACAAGAGACGAGCGTAGGAATTAGTACTTATTCTGCAACGGGCCTTCCTCGCTTATCAGTGGTTCTTGTTTGTTTCACGTATATTCCTATTATAGCTTTTCCAGTTTATTGTAAAACAGAGGGTACGCGTTTAACTTTCCGCATTTGTACAGATATTCATGTAGTTTGACTTGTTTGCTATGTAATATTCAAATAAAAATAATAGTTTAAAAAAAACTAAAAAACACGCTTTAATAGAAAAGCAAACTAAAAAGTAAACAATAATTTTCAATGAATTTAAATTAAGGATAGTGTGGTTCTTTTATTGTAGAAAAGTGTGGGGTGCATTTGTACAGATATTCATGTAGTTTTACTTGTTTGCTATGTAATATTCAAATAAAAATAATAGTTTAAAAAAAAACTAAAAAACACGCTTTAATAGAAAAGCAAACTAAAAAGTAAACAATAATTTTCAATGAATTTAAATTAAGGATAGTGTGGTTCTTTTATTGTAGAAAAGTGTGGGGTGCTTTTTAAGATATTTCCATAATGACTCTAGTTTTACCAATATCTGACATTAAAATATAGCAAATCCCACTATTCTTAATTTAAATTTATTGAACATTATTTTCTACTTTTTAGTTTGCTTTTTTAAACTATTATTTATTTTCTACAAACTTTTTTTATTCAATTTCAGTTATAGAAATATACCTCCCTCCTTATATATTTGCGCTTAACTTTTTTTAAGATTGTTTGTTTATGGAAAACCGAGTCGTAAACCACTAAGGTCAAAACGCATCCGTATTTAACATTTAATAAAATTTGATAAAAAGTTACCACAGGGATAACATACGGTATCAAATTTGGAAAATCGCTAATCCTGAAGGTCCTAATCAAGATAATGAGACAAACTATTTAAATTATTGCATTTTCATCGGTTCTTGATAAGCATCCAAAGTTTCAAATCAATCCGACGTTTTGAAGAGGGTGAAAATCACGTTAAAAGATTCCGTTACATAGATACATACTTACCAAGTTAATAAAGATTATTATTAATTGTCTCCAGTTGCAAATCGCCCAATGAGCTGGCGCCCGGTTGCAGCGAGGTGTCGCCGACGGACAGCAATTACCGGATGAATTTGGATCCCGAAAGGGACCTGCAACGCGTCCACACGCTGGTGATATCCCACTTGCAAACGCTCGAAAGCGTCATCGACTTGTGTGCGGCCAAGGCGCAAGGGGGCGCTACCGAGGCGACTACGGTGGGCGACATCTTGCGGCGGTTGCGGGAAGTGGCGTTCCAAATCGAACAAAAGCACAGAATTTACAAGCGGACAATGGACAGGAATACCAAATACGGCAGTCTGTAAGTAACGTTTTTTTTTTTTCACATTGTATTTCTATGATTCTACGAGGATCGATCAATAATTTTTAATTGTTTTTTTTTACAGAGCGGCACCTATAGGAGACGATAATTACCTACTGGCCTCACGTTTGAACGTCGACAGTTCGATATTGCGACGATGCGTTTCGAGCGAACCAGCATCCTGTCCCTGACGCATCTAAATATTCTTTTTTTATGAGTATACACATTTTTTTGTAAGGAAAGCAAGCAAACGATTGTACATTAACGAGTGTAATGCGTTTACGTAATGATGATTCTCAATTCGAAGACTGCTAAGCTAGGGAACCGTATACGGGTCGTTCCGAAACGTCTGGGTAATCTATATATACTTTTTCTACGACTTGAAATTTGTTTGTGTGGATTTTCGCTTAGCAATTGTTTCGGAACGGCCGGTATCATGACAAACAGACTAACACCAGTGCGTAAGAGAGCAATACAGAATATATTTTACGTGTGGATGATTTTCGTTTGTGGAAATGTTTATTTTCTGCTGGAGGTTTTTTTTTCGCTGATCTGTGATAAAACTGGATAAGATTTGGATTATATTGAATAAGTGAAAAATTTAATAATTTTATACATTTGAGCCAATCGGTACTTTTTACATCTTATTTTGATAAAATATTGAACATTCTTTTTTACTTGTTACCGGATGGTATAATCTTTTTGTTTTAAGGTTTAAAACATATTGAATTGACCTTATATTTTTAATAATTTATAAGGACCGTTTAAAAATTTCTATATTTGACCCAATCAGTACTTTTTATATCTTATTTTGATAAAACATTAAAGTACCTACCTAACTTTTTGTTTAAAAAAAATTATTTAATAAATCCTATATTTTGTCTCATCTACAAGGATCATTCAATAATTTCAGACCATTGGATACTTTTTGTAACTATAAAACTTTTCGCAATTATTAAGTAAACTTTATATTTTTACTAATTTATAAGGACTGTTTAATAATTTTATACAGCTGAACCAATCTGTACATTTTACATCTTATTTTGATACAATATTTACTTTTACCAGATGGTATTTTTACGGTTTAAACATTATTGAATAAACCCTATATTTTGACTTAACTACGAGGATCATTGAATAAGTTTAGACCATCGAGTCATTTGATATTTTCCGCAACTAAAATTTAATAAAATTTGGGTTACATTGAATAAAAATTATTTAGTACACCCTATATTTTTACTAATTTATAAGGACCGTTTAATATTTTTATTTATTTGAACCAATCAGTACATTTTTCATCTCATTTTGATTAAATATTGAAGTACCCTAACTTTTTTTTACTTTTACCAGATGGTATTTTTTAAGGTTTAACAATTATAGAATCAACTCTATATTTTGAATAATTTTAGACCATTGAGTCCGTACTTTTCTTAACTAAAATTGGATAAGATTAGTTATATTGAATAAAATTATTGAGTCACCCTTATATTTTTACTAATTTACAAGGACCGTTTAATAATTTCATACATCAGTACTGTTTATATCTTGTTTTGATAAATCATTGAAGTACCTTTTTTTGGTTAAAAATTATAGATAAACCCTATATTTTGACTTATCTGAACCGATCAGTATCTTATTTTGATGAAACTTTTTTTTAATTATTAAATAAACCCTATATTTTGACTTATCTACGAGGATCATTGAATAATTTTGTCCATTAATTATAAGTCGGGACTTTTATCAACTAAACTTTGATAAGATTCGGGTTATATTGAATAAAAATTATTGAGTAAACCCTATATTTTAATTAATTTACATCTAAACTAATTGGTACGTTTTACATCTCATTCTGATAAAATATTTTTTTAATGTTAGCAAATGGTATTTTTTAAGGAATAAACCCTATATTTTAACTTATCTACGAGGATCATTGGATAATTTTAGATCATTAAGTCTGCACTTTTCGCAACTAAAATTGGATAAGTTTTGGGTTATATTGAATAATAAAAATTATTGAGTAAACACTATATTTTAACTAATTTACAAGGTCCGTTTAATAATTTCATACATCTGAACCAATCGGTATGGTTTACATCTTATTTTGATGAAAAATTGAACTATCTAACTTTCTCTTTTACTTGTACCAGATAGTAATTTTTTAAATTTTAAAAATTATTGAATAAACCCTATATTTTGACCAATCTACGAGGATCATCGAATAATTTTAAACCATTTAGTAATTCGATTCTTTTCGCAACCAAAATTAAATTAGATTTTGTTTATATTGAGTAAACCCTATATTTTAACTAATTTATAAGGTCCGTTTAATAATTTCATACATCTGAACCAAACGGTATGGTTTACATCTTTTTTAATGAAAAATTGACCAATCTACGAGGATCGTCGAATAATTTTAAACCATTTAGTAACTCGATTCTTTTCGCAACCAAAATTAAATTAGATTTGGTTTATATTGAGTAAACCCTATATTTTAACTAATTTACAAGGTCCGTTTAATAATTTCATACATCTGAACCAAACGGTATGGTTTACATCTTATTTTGATAAAAAATGAACTACCTAACTTTTTTTACTTGTACCAGATAGTAATTTTTTAAGGTTTAAAAATTATTGAATAGACCCTATATTTTGACCAATCTACGAGGATCATCGAATAATTTTAAACCATTAAGTCAATCGATTCTTTAGATAATATTTGGTTTATATTAAATAAAAATTATTGAGTAAACCCTATATTTTTACTAATTTATGAGGACCGTTTAATAATTTCATACATATGAACCAATAGGTACGTTTTACATCTTATTTTGATAAAATATCTTACTCTTTTTACTTTTACCCAGATGGTAAGTTTTGAAAAATGGATAAACCCTCCATTTTGGCTATTTTAGAAGGATCACTTATTAATTTTAGAGTTTTAAATTATTTTACTTTGGCCCCATCCAGTATTATTGCGGATCAGTGGTTTTTAGACGGGATTTTTTCGTTTTACCCTTTTTTTAAGTACGTGTAGACAATGAAACCAAAAAATTGACGAAAAAGTGGAATCTGCATGGGATAGTAAGTTAATATTAAAAAATCGAAATTTTTTAATATCCAAAATGAGGAATTTGATCTCAAAGATTCACTAAATGGGATTTTTAGTAATTTTTTAAAGCAGCGGGACAAAAGATTTAAAAAATGGATCTGTAAACATTGAAAATGGTCGTTCGACAAAAACTTCCGTCCGAAAAACAACTCGGAACATTTTTTTTACCAATATACTTTTTTTTGTTATTTACATGTATATGAATCTTGTTATTAGTACAGAAATAAACTTGCGTGTAGGCAGACGGACGTACTCTGTACATTTTAGATTTTAAACTTAGTTATTTAATAGCCGTTAAGACAATCATCACCCTCATATTACCTGTTTTATAAAAAAAAGGTTTAAAAAACAACTACCGGGGATATATTCATTTTTTTATACCTATTTTTTCTGTGAACAATTTCTAAGTGCCTTATACATTTAATTTTACTATTTTTATTCCACGTATTGCAAAATTATATTTTACCTTTCCACTTTCACCCAAAAATTTTCTGGATTATAAAATTTGATTTAACTATTTTTGACGTTTTCTAAAAAAAAAATCTATTTTTATATTCCACGAAACTTATTTTAAAGTTATATTTGACATGTTTACCTTATATTCATAATTTTCTCAGACTATAACATCACTATTTTTGATATTTCATCAAAAAATCACGCCATTAATAACATTTCGACACAGCAGCTTTGCAAAAACAACATTAACTTTATTAATTTCAACAATTTTAATTCAAATTTTGAAAAAATAATCGAAAATTATAGTCTGAGAAAATGTCGCATAAATTCAGAAAAGCAAATATAATTTTGCGAAATCTCTTATTGTGGTGTTTTGTCGCGACAAAATCCTCGGTGGTTGTTTGAAAGAGTACAAAATATACGGGGGCGCTTACGAAACAAGTGTCGCAGCAGGGTATGAAATTTTGGATAAGCAATAATTTTGAGGGAAGGTATATTTTTGGACCAGATTATATAAATGTATAACTGAAAGGTAGGAATATTTTGAAATTACTATATGATAGTAGCTCTAGATATATTATATATTTATCAGTTTTGAAAAATATAAATTTTAGATGTACATGGGATGTTTACAAGAAAATATTTATTATATATCTCTAATTTAAAAAAAAAAAGGTAGCTCTTATTAGGTATAGAGTTTTTCTTTTAACTTATTTTAAAAGGCATCCCATTTCTTCCAACTTAATAAGATAAAATTAGGTCAATATAACGTCCCCTTTTTTAAGTAAGACTTAAAATTATGAAATGCTTCCTTCTTAAAATAGTACTTTTTTCAACATACTTATTTATGTTATAAATTTTAAGGGTTTTACACTTATTTTGACGTCTCAAAATATACAAAAATTTGCAATTAATAACTCATAAGTTTCACAAAGAGTTTTTTGACATTCATTTAATTAATGTTTGTCATAATTTGATCGAATTATCTACTTCAAAATTGCTCAATTTTCGAATTATGTTACTTGTTATTAAATATATTTTGACGTTTGTAAGTGTCATTTCTAACATTTTGGTGATATATAATCCTTGCTTAAAATATTTATCATTTGTTGCTTGTGTCATCTGTCATTTTGACGAAACCTAGGTATGTTATTGTCAAATGTCATTGTCATGACAACCAAACAGATCTAGCTAATTAACTTGTTGTTTTTGTATAATTTGAGATGGATATCTGCGTTTTAGTAACAGATTGTTAATTGTATAGTGTAGATATTATTGATTACTTGTATAGAAGGCGACTAAAGGGCATTTATAAGCTGTCTTTATAATTTCTAATCTGTTCAAATACTTTTGAATAGCTTTCCTGCGTTTATTTTATTCTACAGCTCGTACCGACAAATTTTTTTATTAGCACAAACCGTATGTTATAGTTTTAGCAAACAAAATGTTAAATATGTACGTTATTTAGCTCCTCGGATATATTATATATATTTTTTTTTGTAAAAAATTGTCATCCAGCTTTACATACAGAGGACGGTTTTTTGTATATGTATAATTTTACGGAATATGTATATTTTTATTTGCACTGATTTTATAGATTTTTTTATTTAATATAATTGTTTTGTTCTTTCTAATTAACTTATTAACTTTTTTTTGTAAATTTTTGTGTAATATTAATGTTGTTTTTTAAAAACAAAAGTTTCAAATAAATATTTTCAAAAGATTGTTTAATTTGTTTTACTTTAATAAAAATATGAGATGGGCAAGTTATGCTATGTTAAATAATTAAATATTAATTAACAAATACTGGTACAAAATTCGTGACTTATCTAATAATTTCATGTTACAGTGATACTGTAAATTCATTATTATAGCCTCTCAAAGTGTAAACGGTGAAAGCTACAATTTTAATGTTACACACGAGATTATCAGATCAATAACATCATATGAATACGACGGAAATGTTGATACCGAATAATTTTGGCCTAGATTTAAATGTTTTGTTATTTGATTTTCATGCGATTATAAAAATAAAATGAGCATGACGTGTCTTTTCCAAAACAACAAAATAAAGAAAATTTTAACAATTTTCAAGAAAAATCGATAATTTTGGCAGCACTGCACGATAATTTCTTTATCGGCTGTTGGCAACACTGCCACGGAGCAGATCTTAGAACAATATATAGTCGGGAAGGAGCATGCCCTATATCCGTGTTAATCTAATCGATCTGACGGAAGTGGTAGCCATGTTGTACTATGGATCATCATCATATGATAAATGGTTTCTAAAATTGGTTAATAATTTGAATGTTTTATGTATTAATTTAAACTTTTATCAAACGTATGTTTTGTAGACATTTTTAAAAAGTTTTATTTATTACTGTTAATTTTAAATTTTCCGCGTTAAAAGACAAGACAATATGGTCAGTTGTTCGTCTTGTGGATATAGCAGCACAGCTAAAAGTAGAAAGGAATAATCTACATTTCATGAGCAAGTATTTTGTTTTCTCAATTTTCAACCACATTAAAGATTTTTAAAATTTTTAATGTTTTAAATTTGTAAACAAACATGGTAAGTGCGTCTTCGATCATCTGTGCTCATACCCAGACAGCACACCAAATCCTTTGGATATCTACTGAACATCCCAATATCCACTGAATGTCCAGTCCATGGTGGATATCTATTTTATATCCATGAGATGTAATTTATAGACATGCAAATGTCCATAAATAATAGTAATTATATAGCAAATTATTAAAAAATTACGCCATTGTGCTCGTCATTGTGGCTAATAGTACCGTTCAGATATTTAAAATTAATTTTTTTTAAGGTGTATTCAATATTCCATGGACATCCACTAAATAATCAAAGTCTAAGCGCGAACGCAAATCATCGTAAATATCCACTAGATGTAATTTTTGATTTTGCTTACTAAATATAGATGGCGATACCACTTTCGCATCTACTCATTCTTAACCCGCCGTAATTGAGTTCGATCGAAATTTGTTTCCCAATCAGACTCCATTAGAGACTGGAGTCGAGAATTTCCATTTATTGCTGAAGACTCCTAATAAGGATGACTTTCTCCTTAGTGGGCAAAATCAAAGGCAGAGTGTTGAAAATATTTTTTCTCTGCTATTTTCTTTCGACGTTATTCAATAAACATTGGTTACTTTTATGAACCTCTACTAAAGATTCCCATAAAATATTTTACTGAATATCCGAATTCTTCTATATCCTGGGATATAGATGGACATTTGATTGGATATCCACAAAATATATTCTGTGGATATCTCTGGGATTTCTCGTATTGTCTGGAAGATACCCATTGGATATTTTGCTGGGTAATCCATAGGATATCTTCTATATTCTGGATATAGACGGACATTTGTATATCCATATTAGATCCAAGGAATATTTCTGATATCCTGTGGATATATTGGATATCCACAAAAGATATTTTGTGGATATCTCTGGGATTTGGTGTGTTGTCTGGGTAGGCGTAGTCTTATGGTTTATAGGATATACATACTTTTATTTAAACAATTATTTTTTGCAATTTTAAGATATTTATGTGGTTGTTAAAATGAAGAAATTATTGTTTAATTTAGATTCCCACTATGCATGAAAACGTTAAATTAATGAGTCCAATGGGTCCTATGATTGAACTTTTACGTTATCCGTAACGTACATGTTAAGCCGAGTTTTAACAGAAATGAGGCAAATTCGTATGATGAAAAATTTTTTTCAACACGTTACTGTTATTTTCCGCCTGTTATGTTCTAATTTAACAGGTTTCCATTATACGAACTTGCCTCGTTACTTTTAAAATTCGGCCTAACATGTACGTTACGGATAACGTAAACGTTCAATCATAGGACCCATTATGCAAATGAGAATTTATTATTTTCTTTTCTACGCCCCTTTATGACAGTACGTCATTGGTAGACCGGAAACACTTGTCGCCATATTCGTCTAGTTCACTGTCAAAATTAGATACCATCGCGATTCCAAGGTCGTTTAGGATTCCTCCTTCCTGACTATATATATTCTAAGGAGCAGCTGTATTAAAAGAGCAGCTTGGAGTAAAAAGAGCAAAACGAGGTAGTTTTCAAACGCAGGATATATAATTATTTTTTGTTATTCGTCTCTAAAAACCCCGAACGACCCAAACTTCGATAAATTGCTTTTTCTACAAGAAAAAGACAATTTAAATTACTTGGTTTCTTAACAAGGTAGAGGACCAATATAAGTACTTGGTTTTCATATATGTAAACGGATTGTTTGACTGTTTTTAAAGAAGAAGGCAACTAAATAAGAAGAAATACATTGTTGCCAAAATATTTTTTAGTATACACGTCTATTACGATTTTGTTTGAATCAATACACTAGTACCTTATCTCGTTTCACTTTTGCGGGCCTCCAAAAACCCTAAAGAACGATTGATAAAATAACTCTAAGAATTCATAAATGAACCTAAAAATTTGAGTTAACAATTTTATTAAATTACATTTAACTAAATTATATAATTCTATTTTGATTTTTACTACTTAAATTATCTATTACGTTTTTAGTGCAGTTCTATTACACTCTTTCCATTGGCAACACTGTTTTATATGACGCACAAAGGTCAAAGTTTACAAAAAATTTGACTTTGACACAAACGTCATCGAAATTCTAATTATCTGACATGCGAATTTAATTCCCATTTCGTCACAATCAAATTCTTCAGCTTTGTATTTACAACGCTTGCTCAGCTCGCACTTTCTTTTTAGGGTTTTGTCGCCCATCACGAGCGGAGCACTTACCGTCAGTCACTAGTCTAATGTTTGTCTAAAATTGACAGTTTCCAATCCAAATTAACACCATGAAAATTTGGACAAGTGAACACACATTCAAGTGAGTAATATTACGTTAATTTGTTATTTTTTTGAATGGATTATGTTCGTTTTTAGCCATCCGTGGGAGACTGTGGCGACGGCGGCATGGAGGAAATACCCCAACCCCCATAATACGGCTGTAATAGGGACCGATGTGGTGGAGAGGAAGGTGGTTAATGGGGTTTTACACACACATAGGCTGGTTAGCTCTAGTTGGTATTTTCCTAGATGGGCACAAGCAGTAAGTACCTTTAAATTTATTTTTTAAATGAGCCAAATTCGTAATTTCATTTCTATTTGTGTTTTTCAACATTGGTTGTTCAGGAACCCTCTTCTGTTGTGTTTATTATTTTTGTAAAAAGTGTAATGTTAGATTGGACTCTGACCTTGGATTTTCTATTCCTGTATTACACATTCAAGGTTAAAATGTCCTTTAATTTATGAGCTTTCACCTAATTGTTTACAAATGCATTTGATTAATTTGTTTAGAAATTAGGCAATAGATTTAGTTGATGCACTTTGTGATGTTTAAAAAATAAACTGTTAATTCATCAATTTATTATAACTTAATTAAATGTTTTATAAATAATTTTAAACTCATTTTATTTCAACTGCATCAAGCTTTCACTAAAAACATCTTTTATACCACAAAATTAGAAATCTACAGTAGATATTCTTGAATAATTTTCTAAAAATTTAAATAAGAAATTTCTTTACTCTTTAAAATAGTTTGCCAATAAATATTAAACTAAAACAATAACAATTTAATAGGTAAAGTTTAGGTCATGGTCTAGTTTGAGCTCTTTTTGCTTATGAAGAAATTATTATTACTATTCTAAACAAAAAATCTTAGTACCATAATAGTGACACAATTAATTTTTTTAAATGAAAATATTTCACAAATTGTCTCAATTGGAAGCTCATACATGCTTACAGTGTTGCTGCCAAGTCACACAAAAAGTTTACCATTCAATTATTTAGTATCAAAAATATAACAATTCATTTTTAATAATTTTCCTTGCCCTCTATAATTATTTAATAATATTACAACTATTGACGTTGTTTTACCCACCCAGCACCCCCTATTCTCTCCCTTTCCCATAAAATTGATGGAGGAAATGGCATATTTTCATTTAAAAAAATATTTGTCTTTATTATTCATTTGCACAAGATATGGAACTTATGTTTTTTGTTTACAATAGCAATACCTGCAAGTACATATGCTTAGTTTTTGCATAATCCAAAAGAGCTCAAACTATAGTTTATTTGAAAATGAATGGATAGCAAAATTATATAAAAATATAGACCATTGCCATAAAAACTGTACCATCATGCATTTTCAAATAAACTATAGACATTTACCAAAGATTATTATTTAATATTATAATTTTTTGAAATCAATTTTTTTTTTTTTATTTTGAAAGTCTTTTGATCTAGCTCCCAGGTGGGTAATATTGTAACTATTAAATTTTGCTCTTATCAAAAGAAATAACATCCTAGGTATAGGTTCATATTTGTAGTCAAGTTAGACTATTGGTTGTTCTAATATTTCAAAGTAGAAAAGTGGAACAAGGTGTTCCACAAGCACCATTTCTAGAGCCCCTATTCTTCAAATTATAAACAAATGCTTTATTTTACCGATGTAGATTATTTAACAAAATATCTTCTAAGGCCTAGCCAAGCAATTTATTATTTTTTTCTTTAAAAAATGTCACTCTATTAATATTTTCATATAAATATTTGTATGAGTATGTACTGTGAGTGCAATTTCAAATTAAATAATAAAAGAGAATATATAAAACTTCTTATACTCTGGGTAGTATTATGGATGGTTTAACAGTCTAATAATCAATAACCAAAATTGGTCAGAGGACAAAGAGGTTTATAAAACATAATTTTAATAAAAATTGACGCATACAGGTATTGTTTGAAGCAGGCAAAATATTCCATTCAAAATTATTGATACTTATCATTCAATATATGCATATTGATTGCAAATAGTTCCCTTATCAATGTATATATTACAGGTAAAAGATATGCTTTATATGCGAAATATCATCCATTAAATAATGTTAATAATAAAGTTGCATAAAATGTACGAATATAAACATTTAAAAAATAGTTCCCCCGATCACGTGCTTACTATTTTTACAATTTTCCAATTTTCATGCAACGCACGTGTGAATTCACAGATTGGATTATAAAACTTTTTGGCAAAGTTACATTTCTCCTACACACTCTCATTTAGTGCTTCATAAATGTATAACAGAGGTTGAGCTCTGTTGATATTATGCCAACTCAAAACAAAAAAAAAAACGTGATAAAAACGTTTTAAATTGTCCGTTTTTGTAATAATTAATGTAAACTGGTAATGAGTAATTTAAAAAAAAAATATGAATTTTTTATAACAATTAGGTAGATAGGCAAATTTGTATCAAGGTTATGTAAAAAAACGTTTTTCTGACGTCTTACAATTTTAATTTAAATGTAGTCTTTTAATTAGTCTAGTGCTATTTTAATAATAAAACTAACTAATCCCTCAAATAAATGTATATTTTTCTCAATATTCATACATTTTTATATTTAATACTCTAGTCTTTTAACAACGATTCTAGTCAAAAACCTGTCTCTTCATATTTCTAAATATTTTATTTTACCCCTGTTGTTAGGGTCATTGATGTGTATTTGCCAATGGTGATGAGGATGATGTCGACAGCATATAGTTTGAGAAACTATTTGAAATCATAAAAATGAATGTCCTTTTCTTTAAATATCGTTTTTTTAATGGACCACCTTATACTGCTTGATTTACTAGTGTGAAAAATATTTCAGGCATTATTATAGATACATATGTATGCCTACATTTTTTTAATGGGACTTTGGGTCACCCTCCATGTTTTACATCTTTTTTAGGGTTCATTTTATGTTAAAATGGATCCATTGATACAATCTGTATACAAGTGCCAGAGACAAAATCTTTGATGTATTATAAAAGGATCAAGACAATATTTAGTTATTTAATTTTAAATGATAACACCTATCTAAAGTATAAAAAAATAATCATAGTTCTATCAACTTGAACAATATTACGTTTCGGCTGTCTTATCTAATATTAAATTAAAAAAATATACAAGGTGTTTTAAAATTTCACGATTTGGATGCCTTGGGTCGAAATATGAAAAAAATCCTGAAAACTATATCAAGAAACGCTTTGTTTTTGAGATACAGGGTGTTAAAAATTTTAAAGTTACCGTATTTTTTCTATTCAATAATTGTATGGAAATTTTCTAGTTGTGCCTTTTTTGTTGCTTCATCAAAAAAAACAAAAATTGCAAAAATCTACAAAAATAACTGTCTTATCTAGTCGACATCCCTTTTTAGGGGTGTTTTCGGGATATTCTGGTAAATTGCGAGTTTTTTTAATCTTTTTATGCAGAAAAATTATATGGGGAACTACCCTAAAGGGTTTGGCTTCAGGAAAAACCTATGGACGAAAGTGGAGGGGTTGAAACTGTCCCAAAACTTGAAAAAAACAGCAAAAAGTTGTTTTGCTTTCTTATTTTTTTTTTTGTAGATTGGCTCTGGGGAAAGTAGGCAAGGGTGAATAATGTATCATCCCCTAACAGGGTGATAACTACGTCTTAGCAAAAAGTGCTTGGTTATGCATGAATGGGGATTCAAGTGAGGAAGATAAGGACATAAATTCTAGATTTTTATAAATTATTTGTATAATCAATTCTTTTTGAAATTGATTTTTATAACAGACTTAAATCTGAAACTAAAAATAACTTTATTGCAAGAGTATTTTTTGCGTTTTGGGAGTATTCAGGCGCTCAAATAACCCCCCGAGACCTTACAAATAGTGTACTGTGCGCAAAATTACATCTAAAATGGGTCTCGACCTGTTTCAAATTTGTCATTTGTCACCTCGTCCGTATTTTGACTGGACTATTCAATTCCCTATTAAAATATCAGCACTTTTTATCCCGAGGGATAAATGCAAGGTTGTAGTAGTATTGAGGTATATTGTACTTTGTTCTGGGGATTAAAAGTAACTTTAATCATTGGAAAGTAAAAGTACTATTAAGTTTATGGTAGATTTTTAATCCCTAGAGAGTAAAAGTGCCATTTTAATCCCTCCCTTTTGAATGGCACTTATATCATAAATAGAAATAAGAAATAATGAAGTATCTGTTAAATATTTAAACATATTTATCAATTTTTAAGCTTTTATAGTTGATAATTAATGATACATTTAACATTAAAACTTTCATAGTTTTAAATTATTATTGATTGTTAAATTACAAACGTCTCAACTTACAACTGACATATAATTGTATGTTTTATACAATTTGTGACAGAAATACAGGGTTTGATGAACCGTTGTACCAATTGTTTGTAATTAATAATTTATTTACGATATTACGAATTTTCAGAACGAGTTTTTTTCTCGAAATCAATAAGCTTTGTGGCTTCTTTGAAGGCGTTTTCGTAATGAATTATTTAAAATAAGAGACTGTTATTGACCTAATATAATTTATTCAGGGAGACGGTTAACGATGATAATGATTGTTTGATTTGTTGTTAAAACGATTATTTTTTTTGTTTGTATTCGTTCTGAGGGATTTATTAGAAAATTTTATTTTCTATTTGAAAAAGAAGCTAATTTGAAAATATATTCACAGCTCATATATTTTTGTGACATACGAGGTATGGTTGGAAAAAAGCTCGTTTTGTAGACATTGATGAGGGTCAAACGAAACAGGAGCGTGTCAATCAAATCAAAATAACTTTGTTGTACAAAGATTTACATCTTAGGAGTACGGTAATACATAGATAAAATAAAACAACGATTAATAATGACAATGGTCACAATTTTACATAGTAACATCCCCAAGAAACTATCCAAGTAAATAATATGCTTTTCCTATAAGTTTTTTTTTTACTTCCCATGTAAATTTACATATATTTTTAATTATTTTTAGAAGGTAGATAATTGATTTTTTTTACTGTTAATAAAATAGACTGTGGAATACAATAAGTACGTCTTATACCATTACAAGAGTTTGAGCTGGTTAGATTTTTGTAACACAAACTCTCCTTTAAATAGTTCCTGTATGCAGGATCTCCAAAAACATTGCGTATCTTAATTGTGATTCTTTTAATGAAAAATAAATACCTTTAGCTATTCCAAAGTTTAGACTCTTAGAAGGTGTTCTTATTGCATATTATCCAGAAGCTAACTTATAATACTAATAATAATGCTGATCAATGCAAATTCCAAGAAATTTAATGTAGATTTTGTATAGTTTTATGACCGAGAACAACATGTGATATATAACATAAATATAAACTTGTTTTAGACACGTTGAAGCTTAATAGGTCAGAAGCACACCATTATTTTATTAAAATAATTTTGTTAGCTACAGTGTCTTCATTTTTGTCATGCCACATTATGGTTGTATCATCAACTAAAATAGTAAATAATCGATTAATATTAGACATGTCATTAATGTATATAAAAAAATAGTGGTCCCAGAACAAAGCCTTGAGGTACACCACTGTCAATACTACTACAATCTCAAGTATCATTCTTAACCACTACACTTTCACAAGATTTTAACCATTCCAAAGCCATATTCGTGAAACCATATTTTCCAATTTTGTTAATAATATTCTGTGATTTACAAAGTCAAACGCCTTAGATAAATCATAGAATACCGCTTTTAATTTAGCTCCAAATATAGTTTTTCTAGAAAAGAAAATATGGCGTTTGAAGTATTTTTATTGGATGGGAAACCAAATTGTATAAACAAAGGAAGTGAATATTTATTTAAGAAATTAATCATTTGACTTTTCACCAGTTTTATTCAATATTTTTTATTAATGTAGGCAGCAGTGATGATATTTCTCTCTATTGCAATTATCGTATCAAAAGATTTCCTTTTCCTCACAGAAAACAATCGAAAATTGGAACTCTCCTGCCGTAAAGGCAAAATAAATCTGGTTACTTACGGGTTTTCCCTTAGAAATCTACATAACCTTAACTAATTGATTATTTTTTACTAATAGTAACATTTTTTCCAGCTCATAGGGTCGGCGAAAATTTGTTACGCCAGTGAACAGTCCGAAGTCAATCCATCCCTGCGATTAATGGTACTAAAAACCATAAACCTCACGTTCTGTCGACACATAGCCGTCGACGAAACCCTCCGCTACACCCCCGACCCAGTCGATCCCTCCAAAACACTCCTCAAGCAAGAAGCCGTCGTCACGGTCAAAGGCGTACCGCTCACCAACTACATGGAAGACCTACTCACCACCAAAATCTCCAACAACGCCGGCAGAGGGCGGGAAGCCATGGAGTGGGTCATCAATAAGTTAAACGACGAAGTCAAGGATCTCACCAGGAGTACGGACGAGATTTTTAACCAGACCAAAAGATCCCTGGACGGCATAGCGAATACGGCCAAGAAACAAATGGACGACATATCGCAGAAGGCAAAAAAGAGTCTCGATGATATACATTCGTTAAGTCTTAGCTAATTTTTTTTTTCTCTTTTTTTTTTGTTTCGTCCTTTTTAGATAGCTAACACAATTCTATTAGTGCTGGAGTAAACTACACCGAGAGAAAGATAAAGCGAGAGAGATATAGACAGAGATAGAGCGAGATTAATCGATAAATGAGCTGGAATGTAACGTGTTGCAAATTTGTATAACATTTGTTTCAAATATACAACAAATATTTAATGGAAATTTACATTCTGATTCATTACAACTGCAACTTTTTTCAATAGACAATACATACTTTTCAAGAACCTTTTTTCTGTGTTCAGATTTTGGTTCAGGAACAACGAATTTTAGTCTGTTTAATAGTGCTTTAAAAAGATTTTAAACATTAATTTTTTGAGTTGACTAATCAATTTCCATAGTCACTTGATTATTTTACGATAAGAATGGCATAGTAAAACCGAAAAACCGCCGATTTGATAACTTTCAATCTGTAATGTTGAATCTAGTACAGAACCTTTTTCAGGCTCATTTTGCTGCCCCATGGAGTTAGAACCGGATGTAGGTTGGTGCTCTTTTTGCACCGCCATTTTCCTCCTACTCGATCGCCTATTCGCTCTTCTCGACTTCTTTTAAGGCTCTTAGAAAGTTGACAGTACAGCGTTGCCAAATTAATTGAACCAAATTTGACACTAACAGTAGTACCTAGACGTAACGTCACAAAGTGAAAAAAATGATTTTCTGAATTTCTGAAAGTATTTTTTAAGTTTTTAAATTCTACTTTCGAAATTTGACGTTACTAGAGGACGATATTGACAATTAATTGTCCTCGGGCAACATGATACCTTGTCTAGATCATCGCCAAAATCAAATTGGATTCCATTTTAGTTGCCATCAATCAATTGCTTCGGAATTTCAATTTGGGAAATGTAATCTGCTCTGTTCGTGTATTTTCCTCTGTAACAATACTCTACGAAGTTTTTCTCTTCATTTGGCTGGGAATCAAATCGATTTTGGTCCTAATGTGATTCGACACCGATATGAAATATCTGCACAAAATTAGGTAGAATTTGACAGCCTTTTACCTGCACTTGCACAAAATTTAATCACACCATTTTTCTTCGACAGTAGTAATTACAACGTTGCCATAATTTTAATTGTTTTCCTTGTATTCAAAATATTTGATAACCAAGTCAAATGAATTGGAAATTTTGTAATTTTAGTCAAATATCATCCATCATCCACGATTGAGTAATTATTTATTTTCATTATTATTGAAAATCTAGCACGTTACCATTTTTTTCTTGTCGTTTTAAGATCGTATTCGCAAAGTATTTTAGCATTTAATTAATTGAAAAGAAAATATAGTAAGTAATATTACATAATCATGAACAACTGATTCGTTTAGTATGTAATTTGTAAATACAAATAAATTATTTTAAACATTCCCTTTGACGAATGTTGTTTTTCTTCATTATTATTTTTTGTTTAAAAATTACCTCATTGTTGAATAAAAATTTAAATTTGAAGGTGTTTTTTTTTCTTGAATCGAATCCTTATTCCAATAACGAATTTTGAAGAAGGAGTTTTATACTAATCCATTTGGTGTTGAATGGACTTCAAGATCGCCAGATTTGAGTGCACTTGATTAGTTTCCTACTCTAATCATATCCACTATATTTGATTACATACACAATAAGTCGATTATCGTACAAACTTTTGTTATCTCAATTTCATTTCCAACAGAACTTCTTATTCCAGCTAACATTAAATATTTCTGGTCTTGATGTCATTGCCTACGTCAAGATTCCACTGGCATTCTCAATCGGATGAGTTACAAGCGTTATTGGATGTCCAAATTTAAGGAGATTGTAGACGCTTTTGCTTCTACAATTTTGAAAATATAGAATCCCCCTATGAAATTATGAAGAAAACGCCCCCATATCCCGAAAGTGAAAACAAATCAAAGAAAAATTGAAAAAGCTGAGAAAAAAAAAATTAATGCAATGACCAGGGATTGAACCTGGAACTTTCAGATTAGAGCCGTCCGCCTCTCTACCAGTTTGTTTATCAAAGCACATGGCTGTGATAGTCGAACTCGTAGATTTTAAGTCGGATCAGATTCGGACTCGTCGGCGCACACACACATTCTCATCCCATCCCAGCTCTCTCAATTCTCATTTTCTATCCTGTGATGTAAAACAAGAAAATGTCCTAAACCCTATACCGAATTTGGACTAAATTCACTTTGTCACTCCATAGGTTTGGTGAAGAAATATCTCAATTTAATAATTTAGACTTTTCCAAGAAATCCTGCCCCGATGGAGTTCCACCTATTTTCTTAAAAAAAAAAAAACAATTGTTATGCAGACTATTTCAAAGGTATTTTGACAATGGATTTTTTCCTCAACATTTAAGTGGTTGTAAAACTGACATCTTAAACTATCGTGGAATTCCACTTTACAATCGAATCTTTGGCTTGTAATTTCAAATGGTATCATTTTATTGGATGAGAGAAACGTGATGATGGCTGGATCCTCTTTGGCTTAGGTACTATCAGCGATCGTAGTATCTTTTTCCTTCTCGTCTGCACATTAATTTCTTGATAGGTCCTTAAGCTTCTCCCCGCATACTATAAGAAGTAATTTTCGTAGCTAGATAGTCAAATTATTGTCCAAGCACCATAGATATAGACTGTTACCTTCTTTTAGATTTCTACTATGTAAATTGTACATAAGAGGTGATTTAGCTCAAATTGCTGATACTGCGTGGATTCATAAATTGAGCAGGACAAATGAAATCAGAGTGGCTTGACCGGTTCGCGGGCCAAAGTCTACTTTAAGCCATAAATTTCCGTTTAAACTGTATTTCCAGACTGACTTGTAATTCAATTATTTAGTTGCCTCCCCGCGTATATATCAAAGAAAGCTTAAAAATATTATTAGTTAGGGTAGCTATAATCTATATAAAACAAAGCATTAATAATAAATCGGCATTCGTCAACATGGTGATAATAAAAAAAGGAAATGGCCGATCTTTTCGGTTTTACAACGAAATCCAGCAAAATGTGAATAATATAAGGCGATAGAAACATTACCTGACAATTATCCCAACGTTAAGACAATATAATCACATAAAATGCAGACAATTACTAGCAACTAATTTAATACATTTATCGCACAAGCTAGCACGTTGAATTCGATACACCAAAAAGACCGGTTGAATCCAAACGAATCGGTTTTATGACGACTGGTTGCCCAAAGAAACCCTATGGACCGTGTGCGCAAACGGTTCTTTCCAAATTTCGAGAAGGAAGCGAGCGGTGGTCGTTTACGTTGTGTTACGAGGGGTTATAGAGAGGTTGTTAAAAATAAATTTGAAATTAATTTCACGTAACAAGAACTTACCGTATAATTAATTCTTCCATGAACCGTGACTTTTCTAAAAATTTAATTTTGACGGCTGATTGATGCTATGCATAAGTCATACACCGGCTGTTTTGATTAATTTTTGTTCAGGGTTTGAATCATTTGTTTTCCATATATATTTCAGACCTTTTTTTCTCTTCATATTATATTTAGTTTTATATATTTGACATACCATTAAAACTTTTGTAATCAATTTAAAAAAAATATTGATGCCACCAAGATTTCCGGATTTAAAACCACCCGACTATTTTGAAGGTCAATGAAAGTAGCCAGTTTATTTGAAGAAATATATTTAAAAAAAAAACTACAACGTTTACGACTAGTGTCACAAAATAAGTTAAAAACAAAAAACATACAAAAATATATTAGCTAGAATTTTAAATTTTTTTTATGTAAATATTGTGGTTAATATTATTCACTGGTTTGAGTTCAGATGAAAAGTGTGATAGTAAAGGCGGGTCATCCCAAAAGCAGAACTGATTCTTTTTTATTATTAAGATTTACGTTAAAACAAAATTAAGACGTATTTACAAAAATGCAAATCTTAATAGTAACTTTGTAGAAGTCTATTTTCCTTAAGAAGCCTTTAAAAGACGAAGAAATCTAATAATATCAGATCGGGTTAATATTGTGGACATGTCATAATTACCCATCGTTTCAAAATTGCCTGAATTTTTACACCATTAGCTTCTGGAGTGACTGCATAGAAATAGAATACTGATAAATTTTAAGTGCAAATTATTTTACATAGATAAAAAACGGAAACATTTTTACAAGTACAAAAAACAACTGGAAAATCTTCATATCCTATAACCCTCAATGAAGGGTATCCCTGTTCCAACTTTGTCTTGATAATCACAGTAGTTTTGGCCAAAGAAATTCAACAAGGTAATCTCTTCAATTTCAATCCTTGTTTTGAAAAACAACCAACTTGCCAATGCATATGCTGGGACGCATAATGGGTTCACAAGTATAATCTACAAGAAAATATTTATTTATTGATGGAAAAACCCCATTACATTATTAATTGCCTGCTTAAAATATATTAAATTTAAACAATGCATGTATATATGCTAAAATGACAAAAAATATTCATAAAAAATTGATAACATAAATATAAAATCATAAGATATGACTAGTGATGCTATTACACATTTACAATTATTGTTTTTTCTAAATTTACTATAGGAGCCATTCAAAACAATATCAATGTTTTTACAGTCATTTAGGATGTTAAGTGTTCTGGTAATAAGTGTTTGCCAGTTTGTAGAATTCATAGGAATAAAAAATAAATAATTTGATTTCAGAAGTCTAAAAGGAATTCCGATATATATTTGCTTCAGAATCCATTATTTATATTATACATAAAAGATATCTAACAATCTTCAAATAAGTAAGAGTTCCAGCAATTATATTATGAACGTTTTAAGCAACATCAACATTTATACTTACTTGTGTCCCAATAGACCAATAAAACCATCCTACGTAGCTAGGATGTCTGAACCAAGCATAAACCCCATGTGTAACCAAAGTATGGTTGCTAAATTTCTCACATTGTACCTGAAAGTCAATTATTAAACCAAACAATCAAGAATCAACTACTACAAACGTACCAGATGGCTAAAATTAGACCCAGCTGTCAACATGGCAGTTTTTCTGAGTAATTCTCCCAATATACAAATTATCAATCCAGTATTAGACAACCAATATATTTGTTTTAAATCTAAATAAAGAAAAACATCTAAAAAATTCAACAATAGTGACAAATGCACTTATTTACCTGGAAACAAATAACTTTCTACAAAGAATTCCACCCAAGAGGTAATGGCTGCTACAATATACTGAGGACTATGGTTGATAACGAATGAACTCTTGTTAACGAATTTTGGCTGGACAATGCCTATTGCTACGAATTCGCTGAAATGGAAGACTGCCATGATGCACATGTAGCCCCCAAATACTTGTATATTGGGCGGAGTAACTAGCTTAATAAATATTCCTAAAGACAACACACAGCCTAAGAAAGCAGCTCTTATAGCGATCTAAAATATTAAAATAGCTATAGGTCGTTTCATTAAATGAACACAACTAATTAAATATTACCTGGAAAGGATAATGACCATGGAAGAATACTTTCATAACAGACAATACAATCAGAGCTGCACATGAAAATATGGAGACATTAAGTAAAATATTTGTTACATTATAATAAATCTGCCCGAAACCTACTGCTGATATGATACAAAAGGCTGTAAAAAAACTTTTAAGGGCTACTTGAACTGGAATACAGACCATTTTTGACGAGTTTTTCGAATAATTTACATATTACGTACGTACTGCAGATCAGTGAAAATTACTTTCAAAAACCTTGTTACTTCTATTTTTAGATTTTATTTGTTTTAAATAATACATTAATCGGAGTAAAAATGCATTTTGGTTTTGTATACATTAAAACGAAAATAGAAAATATTTGGCGTAGTTCAAATATTTCTTTTCTTGGTCTCTTCTCATCTCTAGTGGTTATTCAGTTAGTAGGTCTAGTCTGGTATAGTTCAGCGGCTATCGAGCCATCTAATACTGACTAACTTCATTTTAAAAAAAGTAGAAGTTATTTGACAGAGCAACGATGCCAAGCCTGACGATTTCCATGAGTTCTTACCACAGATTTGGATAAATACTTTAGAATAGAATATCACAATTGTAAACTTCAATAAAATAGTCTATAAAGGTTAATAACATTTTTTGCAAACGTATTAATTTCTTTTATAATGCATTAAATTTAAGGCAATCCTTAAAATTTAATCATTTACAACATAATATTTTATATTCATTTTTATAAAATATATTTTTCATTTGGCAACCCTGCATGTTGAATGACAGACTCTCAAATTTTAAAATTTAACGTTTTCAACTGTGTTTCAGTCTGTAACTGTTTAAAATAAGAAAAATTGCCAAGAAATGTACGAAATTATAACTTTCGATAAAAGTTTTCAGCAACGTTTATCAGAATTCAACGATGTACTCTCAGCGTGCGACGTTTTACCCACTTCGCAATTGCAAAAACAATGGGGCCTATTTTTGGAATTCTCCGTCGACAAAAGAGGTTGGCAGGCGATTTGGAAGCTCCCCAGAACGACCTGCGAGTCCTTAAATATAATCTTTCCTTCATTAGCTTTAGTTATCGTTCTAACCGTAAAAACTTTGGAATTAAAAGCTTATATTAGGATACTCGCCTTTCAAAATGATGTCAATATTCCCGAAAAAATGTGGGTTCCTCTTGTACAGATTTGGCCCACTGAAGATCAGGATAAGTCGATCGATTTGAATTTGATGGAAACCGCTAATTCTTTAGATATGTTGAGGTTTTTTTACTTGTATGTTTTCATGCCCTGGGATAGGGATGAAGATGATAACCAAGATTGGAAAGACAAGCATTTAGAAAGCAGGTTTGTAGCTTAAAATGTGTAAAGTATTGTAAAAAATGATGTTGAATTTGTTTTATTAACCGACTTCAAAAAAGGAGGAGGTTCTCAATTCTTTGCAATATTTTTTTTTATGTATGTTCGGCGATAATTCTTTAACGCGGTGTCCGATTTTAATGATTCTTTTTTGGTTAGAAAGGGGATACTTCAGGGGTAGTCCAATATAAATTTGGTCAAAATCGAATAATTGGGTCCATGAGAAAATCCTCAAACTCTTCATTTTTTATGTATGTTTAGCGATAATGCTTTACCACCTTGTCCGATTTATATAATTCTTTTTTTGTTAGTAAGGGGGTACCTCAGGGGTGGTCCCATATAAATTTGGTTAAGATGTGGTGATGGCATCTGCACATTTTTGAAGTCTGTTTTTTTTAATTGCTAATACTTGTACTTTAATGGTATATACCTATGTCATGCTTATTTTTATAGTTTTAAAGACACCATCTACTTTATTGTATTTTAAATTGTTTGTATAACATATATAAATCATTTATTTAGTCAAACTAAGGGTCCGGTAAAGGATCCTGAGGTGCGAAATTCACAAAAATTTTTTAAACACTCAAAAGTAACTAGTTTCTATAGTAAATTTTCGAAAAAAAATTTATGGATGAAGCAGTACTTTTCGAAAAAAATTGAATTAAAAATCCCAATTTTACAGGTTATAATCACAAAACAATTACTCTAAATGACAGTTTCTGACGTTTCTCTCTTAAAAATAACAAACGTTGCCAAGTTGTTAATAAAACTATAAGTTTAAGGATTATTTAAATTTATAATCATAAATTTTTCGTTTGGTTTAAAAAGATAAGTACGGTAATAATCGTATATAAAATGCAAAAATTAATATATCAACCAAATTAATTTTAAAAATGCAGCTCAAAAATACTACATACAAAATTAAAAAGTGAAATTAATTAAATCACTCAACATGTAATACATAGACAACTTTTTTTAAATTTTCTTTCACTCAAAACGAAACAACGACTTCCGGTAGCGTGGCGGCTTCGCCGTCACCAAAAAATTTTAATCCATACCTGGCTACGCCTACCGGCATAGATTCCAACGGCCTGGACACAGCTCAAATTGAAATGAAAAGTCTCACATAACACATTATAATCCAAAATCATACATTTTTCGTTTGCTTCAAAAAGATAAGTACGGTAATAATCGTATATCAAATGAAAAAAATAATATATCAACCAAATTAATTTTAAGAATGCAGCTCAAAAAAACTACATACAAAATTAAAAAGTGAAATTAATTAAATCACTTAACATATAATGCCTAGACAACTTTTTTAAATTTTCTTTTACTCAAAACGACTTCCCATAGGGTGGCGGCTTCGCCGCCACCAAAAAATTTTAACCCATACCTGGCTACGCCTACCGGCATAGACTCCAACGGCCTGGACACAGCTCAAATTGAAATGAAAAGTCTCACATAACACATTATAATCAAAAATCATACATTTTTCGTTTGCTTCAAAAAGATAAGCACGGTAATAATCGTATCTAAAATGAAAAAATTAATATATCAACCAAATTAATTTTAAAACTACAGATCAAAAAAAACTACATACAAAATTAAAATTAATTAAATCACTTAACATGTACCTAATACCTAGACAACTTTTTTTCAATTTTCTTTCACCCAAAACAAAACAACGACTTTCCGTAGCGTGGCGGCTTCGCCGCCACCAAAAAATTTCAACCCATACCTGGCTACGCCTACCGGCATAGACTCCAACGGCCTGGACACAGCTCAAATTGAAATGTCTCAAATAACACATTATATATTCACCTATAACTTATTTTCTTCTCATTCAAACAGAAATCGTAAACTTGGAAATTATCAGTGATAAAAATCAATATAGTATGGCAACGTTGCAAACTCGAGGACCCTATGTGTCAAGAACTGACAATTTCATGGAATCACTTTATTTTAGGTATTATGGAAGGAAATGATTAAAAGTTAGGTTAAATCAGTCCAAATATTGCATTTTATTATAATATAAATAAAAATAGCAAATGAAACGTATCCTTCCATATTTAATTTCAGTTAAAATATCATAAAAAGTAAGTTACTTCAATATATTAATGCTAAAATTATGAAATTCGCACCTCAGGATCCTTTACCAGAACCCAAACTAAAAGTACAAAGTATAAATATGTATTAAGTTAAAATAAATAAGGAAAAAATTACATTATTATAAAGATTTTAAAAATTAAAGGAATATTTACAATTTACAACATCCACAATATTATTAATATAAACTAGGAACCAAGGGTGTCTCCAAGACAAATTTTTGGGGGCATTGTCTTTAGCCATTCCCTTTTTAGCATATTTTTTATGAATAAAAGGCTCATAAATCATAAGAATTTTCATCTCGGGGGGCGGGGGGTCATGGCCCCCCCTGGAGCCGCCCTTGCTAGGAACAGCAGCAGACCTAATATACTCTGGGGTACACCATTATTACTTATTTGTTTGTTCAGATATTTGCATTTAATTTTTGTGATCTTTTATCTAGGTCTACATCAATACCTATATTATGTAATTTTTTTAATTACCCCCAAATGCCCTTTGTAAATCTAAAATAGCTTAAGTGGAAGTACATTTATTTTGTATATTTAATTTAGGTTGAGATTTTACTATGATCTTAAAAATGGAAATATCCCAAGAGGAGTTGCTGAGCATATACATAATTTATTAACTGAAGCAAGAAGACTGCATAATAAGAGAGAATTTTTGGAAGGGCAAATTAGTAAAGCAGAAGAAAATCAAAATTCTGAATGTGGTATGTTATTATTTAGGTGATGTTAGTAAAATGTTAAGAAAATTTCTTTCAGACTCTTTAAAAGATGAAAGAACCAAAACGTTAATACAAATCCACGTTCGTCTGTTAGAAATCCGTACAGATATTGAAGTAGCTGAAAATCCATTACTAAGAAATATCATCATAGATAGATTTTCTCAATTAGGCAAAATTTCTCTAAACCCTAATCCTCAAATTTGGTTGATATTTGACCAGGGCACTGCAGAAGAACATATGAATTTCCTAATGAAAGTCCAGCAAGTTTTCCCTAAAGACAACTTGAAATTTTGTACAAATTTGGCCTCAAAATTAGAAAGCGCCAATAAGGATGATACCTATTTATTAAATGAAAGTGTTCATAAAATTTCAACAACAGGAGCTTTGGAAGAAGGGGGTACAGTTAGAGGGATAGGGTGTAGGGAAAATATAATATTTACAACTGAAGTTGAAGACGTTATGTTGGATTTTATAGGCGAAAAAGTTGTATTGGAAAATTTAACAATTGATGTTAATTTGGCACAGTGCGGCGTACTCGTAAGAAAAGGTATTTTATTAGTACTTTATTGTGAATAAAACAAATGAATTATACAGGGAGAATCAGTAATTTTTGTTAGCACCTTAATTTTTTTAAATGTTTAAACATGCTATTATTTTTTTTTTTTTGAACTGATGAACTACTGTTCCTTATAAGAAACTATTTAAAGTACAATTAGATTATATTACAATACAAATTAACTATCTTTGTATAACCTTTTAAGAAAAATGAGTACAATTTAAGTACTTAGTAAAATCTTCAAAAATGAATGAATTAACTTTATTAACTGAATTACCGTTTATACCAATTAAATATAGAAATGTTAAATCGCTATAAAAATACCCTCACATTAATTTAAAGCGTTTTTTTTTTTAGGAAATTGTTACATGAAAAAATGTAAAATAATCGGAAAAAGTTCGTCACCGATATACCAAGGTATAATAGCCCTGAAAGGTGCTTCCTTGCATATGGAGAATTGCGAAATTTCCGGATTCTCGACGGCGATTATAGGCAATTCAGGATCGAATATAATTTTAAAAAATTGCGATATCCACGACGTGGATTACGGCTTAAAAATTTTCGACGAGTCGAAAGTCTCGTTGGACAGCGTTTCTATAAGAGAATGTTCCGATTTTGGGATATGTTTGGAAACTGAGAGCTTGGTAGAGGTTGTAGGAGGTTTCAAATGTCTGGAAGAGTAAGTTTTATGGCTAAAAATTCTGTTGGGTAAATTCAGCTAATACCAAAAACCCTTAAAATCGATTTGGTTGAGGGTAATATTTTTTTTCATTATGTTTTAGAACGTCAGAAGTCATTTACAAGAATGTAACGGGTGTAAATAATGGAAGAGGGGATGTGGCGATACTGCACCAACCTGAATTGAAGCCCATTGAAAATCTGTTTGCAGATCCTAATAACGACCCCACCATAATAGAATCCGATGATGACATTACAATGTAAATAATGTTTATACTTTTTTTTTTTATTTTGGTTTATACTGTGATTTTAGAGGGAAATAATCATCACAATTTTGTTTGTACTAAATCGTTATATATTTATATTTTTTCAATTTATTTTTAGGAAAATAATATATAAAAATTAAACAATAAAAAGTTTTCTTATTTAAAAAAATCTTTATTCATGTTAAATACTGTAAACAAACACAAAAACAATTACGAAATAAAATTCATAATATTAAAACACAAACATATACTTGAGAATGTCAGTATAACGACCGATAAATCCTTTTCAAGAATTTTCACATAAATTCAGAGATAAACGATATAAAATCACATCAACAAATTTTATAAATGGTAATTTTTTTTAAAAATGCCAACAAACTGACCAGATCTAAGCTCGTTATTAAAAAAAAAAAAACAAAAATAAACGCGTCTCCTTTACAATAACTATACCTCAAAAAATACGTTTTCAATAACTAAATATGTTAAATGTTAACAAAATATATTTATACTGGGCGTTCCCAGGATATTAACATTGAGTTTTGGGAACACCCAATACATTTATATACGAAGTTTGAACAGAAAATAACCAGGAATTTTTAAATTTCACACTGGCCGCAAAAAAATCGATTTTATCTGGTTGGTTCTCAGTCCAACTACATATCTCCGATATATGTAAATTTGTAAACATGTTTATGGCATGTAAGTCAATTTTCAGACGTATTTGTTGCCAATCTATTAACATCTAACTGGTTAACAGAAAGAACTAGTCATCTGAAATAATCTCAACAACTTGTTTATAATATTAGCATTGATGCTAAATGAAGAAAGCTCGGAAACGTAAACGTTCCAACTCATCAGTTTTCATGATTCAAAGAGAAATTTTACAATTTGTGCGATGCAATAAAAAAAGCAGAACACGATTTATGGAAAAACATTGGAAAACATGCGGATAAATTTTGCCTATTGGTATTCAATTCAGCCGCCATACGCAGTAGAAAGGTTCTTAACTCTATTTCATAATAAGAAAATACACTGGCAAATTACGTATGTACGTAAAATTATCCGCAAATAATTTATGTATTGATTTTGATTTACCCCTGAAGAAATTCGACGAAACTCTATTTGTGGAAAAACCATGGAAAATATCAGTAAATCGTCAAAAAATTGAAGGAGTTAAATATTCAACAAATTCGTTCTACATTTGTATCAAACAAGATCTGAGTTCGTTTAGCTTTACCAGATAGCAGCGGTAGTTAGGTGGAGGTGAAATTGATCCTTCCTTTTTACATAGCTACCATTATAATATGGCTAATGATAAGTACTTACCTCTCCACTTATAACACCCAATCGCTGCCAAGGACTGAACAGTATAAGCCATTTAGTTGAGGAAATACAATGTAAAAAAACTCGATGTTTGGAAAAACAATGGAAAATATTAGATCAGACAAAATAGAGTTGTGTTGTGAGGCATGGGTTCTACAAAATTGTTTTAATAAATGTACAAACCCTGAAGCAATTCGACAAAACTATTTGTGGAAAAACCAGGAAAACGTCAATGAATCGTCAAAAAAAATTAGATGTGTCAACTTTTACCTACCTTTTAAAGCAGCGAACATCTTCAACTTTCGCTAATGGTAAATGAACATTATAGGCAGTTTAGGTGAAGAAATTCGATAAAAAAAATAACTCGATGTTTGGAGAAACAATGAAAAATTATTGAAAACGATGAATCGTTCGTAAATCGGTTTTTGCGAAATTTAAAACGTTCCGCGAGTATTTTAATAAAAAATATTTCACAAATATTTGTGATGGTAAATAATTAAAATCAAATAAAAAAAATCCTGGAAATTTTTGATCTAACCTCGTATGTGTCGAGACTACGATTATCACAAAAAAAAATCATAAATATCAAGATCATTGGTGCAAAAATATCTTTTTCTCTAAAAGATCTTTTGCATTGCACAAAAATCTGTACCAAGGAAACATAAACTTGATATTACAGTAATAATAATAAATAAGTCAGTCGAGTTATAAGTTGGGAAAACTTAATCACGCTAAGCATCTATTTTTTTAAACTGTAGTATTGTATTATTTAAAAATAAAAATGAACTTCTACCACTAACTTTCAAGTACAAATTCTTTTTCATTTCATTTCTTTTCTTATTTTTTTTTTGAACTTTTCAACATTTTTTTTTTTAATAAATAACTTCGATATGTTAACGAAAAATCGAAGTTATAATTTTTGTTTAAATTCTAAATTCAGAACCACCGGAATTTTTTCTTTGAAAAACTTCCAATTTTACGTTTCGGTTTGACTGTACTATTTTTAGCGTTCGTCAAACTTCGCTGGAATCCATGTCGTTGGCGCTGATAACTCCGGTTGGTTCAGTCGTTCTTGTCGACAGATACGTCTTGGCATCGAAATACTCAATGACCTGCGAAACAAATGAAAAAGGTTACAAAAATATTTAGGCAACCTCGTACAGCATCTTACGAGGAACGCTCAATATATGGCAACCAAAAATACTGGTAAAAATGAATTTTCTTGTGTTATTAATCAACAAAGCCGAAATAGCTTACAAAAATCGTAAAATACAAATTTTCCTGGTATAATATCCCAGGAATATTACCGAAACATATAGGTAACTTTTAAAAAAGCAAACTTTTGATGAAAGGTATTGTTAAAAGCATTAATCCATTCCATAATAACCAATTTTGTAACGTTACTCCTAGAAATGTTTCATTAAACGAAAAAACCACAACCACACACATACAAACCGTGTTACTTACGTTTCTCATCAAAACGGGATAGTCCTCTTTGATCCGCTCCCACTCCTGTGGCCGAGACAGGCAATAGGGCGACATGGCCAAATTCGCCAAATACTCGATGGAATACGTGATATTACTACAATTGTTCGTCGGAGGAGATTTTTCTTTCTCCTTATCCATTTCTTTCTCCCCCCCATTCTTGTTGTTTTTCATTAATTCTTCCACAGACAGACGAGGTTTCCTCAATCTCACTTTATCTGCCGTTAGAATAACAATTAAATGGATTAGTATGCGCTGTTCGCCATACTTTTTTTTAATCGAGCTTGGCTATAAAAAAATAACCCCTTTCACCGCGTGTCTCTGAATTAGACGGTAGGTAAAATAATATACAAAGTGCTTTAGTTGATTTGAACATTAAGTGGAAGTAAATTCATAGAAACGTTTTGCGATAATCAGCCTCTAAATCAGTAAAACATTGTCAATATTAATCAAAATTAAAGAACATGGTATTTTGTAATGAGTTAAATAATTTCGCAAAACATTTCTGTAATTGACTCTATTAATGTTCAAATGAACTATAGACTTTCATAGCGAACTCAGAATAAAAAAAAAATTGCGAACATTTATGGATTTTCAGATATCTCATCTCAAAACACTTAAATCGATCGTTAGTAGCGTTAATATTCTCAAACGTCACCAAATTATTGACTTTCTAGGAGTTTTTTTTTCTTTCAAGACAAAACAATATGGAATGGCTACAAAAAAAAAGCGCACTCAACAATCATTTGATAAATCGTTATATCTCACCTGCATCGTCTGCCTCTCCGTTGGGAACGACTTCGGGGGACGGGAGTGATTCGGGAGGAGACAGGGGAGTGCTGGGGTACTCCTCGGATAGAATGGGTTGCGGTAAACTGTCGAAACTGTAAAATTGCGTGACATCGTGAATCGGTTCGCCGGAAAAGTATTCGTCGAGTACGAGTTTGCTTGTCTGAAAAAATAGAACAAAACAAAACCAAGTTATAAAAAAAGAGTATTGCGTTGAAAAAGATGTTGAAATTCAATAAATAATAGTAATCTGTCTCAAATTACTGACATACATGTCAATTTAAAGTGTATGAATTTTGAATAGTTATTTGTAAAAATCCACTTAACATAATTTAAAATTAGTTTAAAACTGTATTTGTGGGATATTCAACAAATTATAATGCACTAAATTCCCAATAATAATTATTTATTATAATAACAATTAACTCGATTTAAAGTACAAACGAAACTGAAGTGGGATAACCAAGCATTTAAAAATATAAAATGTGTTTCCCGAAAAAACAATGCAAAAAAGGATTCTAAGAACACCTCGATACACTTCACTAACACAGTGGCGTAGCGTTAATTTATTCCAATATATCAGTATAGATTTGGTCCATTCTTTTTATACGAAACTAGTTCAATATTTGGCATATTTTTTTAATTTCTTTTTCTAATTCGGAAACTAGATTAAGAAACATTAAATTTTTTTTATACAGGATGACACACCGAAAACTTCCCACCCTGAATATCTTCCTTCCAGTAAATAATATAAAAAATCGCAAAAACCCGTCAATTTCATTTTCTCACGTGCAAATATAATTAAGCGTATCATCTTTATTTCGAAGGATCTATGGGTTAATATACTCTAATTTTATTTTTACTTTTTTATTTTTATATTCTTATTTTATGTCTTTTTATAGTATATTTATTTTACTGAAATAGGTGTAAAACTGTTCATCGGTTATTTATTCAATATTTCATTGTTTATTTAACTGATATAATGTTTATTATAGTATTTTTAATTATTGTACATATATAACAAATGGACTTACCCTGACCAAATCCAAATTATCCCCGGTAATCCTGATGGTACACCCGTTAGCGATCACCGTGTATTTGTACTCGCCCAAATTGGCGTCGTTGGTGCTCAAACTGTGCATCAGAGCTCTAGAGGCGCGCGCAGAGCTGGGCAGAGCGCTGTCGTCGGACGCCGAAGAGTTGATGCTCGAGCTGGAGCCGGTCAGGGGTCCCCCGCCCGTCGAAATCGTCGTATCTCTAATGGGCGAAGCGTTTCTTCGTATCGTGTCCTCGATCAACTGTTTGGCGTGGCTAATTTCGGCGAACGAAAAGATTCGTTGAAAAAAATTTTACAAAAAAAAAAAAATAAAGAGCGTCAGCACGGAAAAATTCTGCAAAAGGGAACAAGAAATTCAGTTTCAAATATCGCCTGAGCTGCCAAACTAATTTTATCGTATTATTACCCAACTAGCAAAATAAATAACTTATAAAAGCAAATAGTTATATAGCTATTTAAGGTAGTTCCCTCGTAAAATGATTTTTCTTAAGAATTCAATAAAATTGAAGTATAAGTTAATGAAAGTGTCTTTTACGTAACTAAAAAAAAAATGAAATTTTTGACCGTCTATGAAATGAGATATTAACAATCAAAATGTGCATAATTAACACTCTTGATGCCTGTCAAGTACAGAAACAATGCATTTATTTCAAGATATCTCGAAAACAGTTCTTACTATATTTTTTAAAAACTAATGTAATGAAAAACAAGAAGTTATAAAATTTTCTAAAAAAGCTGAATTTTTTGACCGTTTTGGTAAAAAGATATGGATTTTAAATCAGTCGACGCGTAGTGAGGTACAATGATTACAACTTGACAATACTGTAATCGCTACACTTAACGCGCGGTAACTCAAATGTTTGTTAATTGCTTTAGGCTTGTTTTGGTTATTTCGGAAACTAGTTCAGAATCACTGAATTATTTACCCTCGATCAGTAAGAGGTTGTTATAACCCCGCGACGTGTTCTTGAAAAATTAATTCGTCCACTGTATTTGAGAACTGGAATCGACGGTTCTGTTTGAACCAAAACTAACCCTTAAAATTAGTACGAGGAAGTCACAAATTTCTATATGCATACACACACTTGACAGCCCCCCATTCATATATTTGCGATGTTGCCAGATGGATTTTACTTGAAATAATATCGTATCCGTATTTATAAGCTTACATTGTTGTGTAGTCTCTTACAAAAATAACATTTTTTAGATTGAGAATCTCGATCTTTTGGTATTAAGGAACAATTTTAGGAAAAAAATTATCTTGAGAGTAGAATATACTCATTATAGAACGTTTTATTTTAAACTTAAAGAATTTTATAACAGCTGTATAACGTTTAATAAAACTTTTTAATAAATTGTGTTGTGTAAAAATCAAATTCTAATTTTATACTTATTGTATAATCTACAAATTTCAGCACTTAAAATCTTTATACAATGTTGTATAAAAATTCATTTGGGCAGATAACACAACTATTTTATTAAGTTGTAATAAAAAAATGTAAACAATAAGTACAGTTCATCAAATTTCTAGAGGTGTTCGACGCCCAGACAGAGAACGCGCTACGTGTGATTAAGATAGCTATTGTACAGTCTGCTAAACAAGTTATTTTAAATAGTTTTTAATATTTTTAGGTAATTAAATTTTAAAAGTGTGGAATAGTTTAGGGATTAAACTGGTCTGATTGGACTTTCTTAGAACGTTTTTAAAAGCAGCTAAAGATAGTATGTAGAATTGAAAATAATTATTATGCCATAAAAGGTGTTTTGGAATTCCTTCAACCTTTTGAAATTGAGTCAGAAAATATAAATTTTATAGGATAGCGGAAAATAGCTATAATTTTTTTGTAGGCCTTTGTAAATCGTGGAAATAGTTTATATTTTATTTCTACCTTATTAAGGAAAATGGTACCTATTATTAATAACGGTTGTTTCTGAAACATTACTAAAATTTTCGAAATTTTGTTTTTCTACAAAATAATAAACTATACTATTTAGAAAAAAAATTATTTCTCTTATAATTTTATAAAAAATAACATGGGAATATTTACATTTCTTGATCTATTAAACAAAACGATAAATTATCTCGACGAATAACACCATGTTCTAGTACGGAAGCTAGCTTTACATTTTTGTTGGTGGTTTCATGGGTTTCATATCAATTTTTTGTAATTGTAGTTTACACGTACATATACCTCTTAACACTTGTTTGCTTTATTAAAAAAGTGTGTTGTTGTAATTTACGTCGAAATAAGTCAAAAACAACTTGAAACCCCATATAAAATCAAAAAGGAAAAACGGAAAAAAATTGAGCCTGTAAATGAACACAACTCAGAAACAAAAATAGCTATCTAATAATAAAAAAATAAAATTTGATTCTAGTGCAGCTTCATCTATATCATTAACTGTTTTTGGTTTTTTAATGGTTTTTCTTGGTGATGACAATTCCGATATCTCACGGTTATCGATTCTTTTTTTCTCTCCAGAAATGCGGACGACAGTGTTTTTAGATACTCCTGTGGCTGCAGCAACACGATCATTTACATTTTTAAATGGTATTGAAGGTGAATTAAAGTTTCCTTCTCTTCTCATAAACTCTATAACATTGGCTATTATTTCGCGAGATTGACTGTTAATCACGCGGCCTCTTAATTTGCTATTAAACTCCATACTTAGGTTCTATTAAACTGTAATGAGCAAAAAACAAACGAAAATAAAAGAAATGTTTTAGCGAAATTTACATCTGACATTTACGTCTGAATGAAATAGTGAAATACTTGATGCGCAGAGTGTACTTTCATTGCGTAAATCCGTCGGGATGCCTGTCAGTAGTGCTTTCTCTGTCTAGCCGTCGAAAGCCTCTAGAAATTTGATGAACTGTATAAAACTATTTTATACTTAATTTATAATATAAAAGTTACTTTGCTCTATTTTAAATAACTTATAGAGCAAATGCTGCATTATAAAATGCCTATTCACATAACCTCACTTTATTATAAAAATTATGCTGTAGCTTACATAAGTATGAGCGCGTGAAAGAAAATACAAAAAAAAAAAATTGTTATTTTAAAAGAAATTTTCATAGGAATTAGTTTTAAATTCTTTAGAATAACGATTGTTATTTAACGCAAATTTTAGATGAGACATAATTTGAAGTGCACATACAGTGTTGCCACTTTGGACAAAAATTACTATAAAATTTGGAAAACAAATATATTACTTTTTTTCGTGAAAAATAGTAAATACCAGTGGCGGCTCGTGACTTGTGTAATAGGGAGGGCTGAGTATAAGGGCACCAAAAAATCAATACCAAAAATCATTTAAACTTAAGCGTCTGAATACGAGGCTTTTTAATTCCATTATTTTCATGATAAATAATTATTACGAAGATAAATAAATAAACAACACCAAACACCACACTAGATCAACATAGCAAAACAAACCACAAAGCGATCGCGAGATGGTCTGTCTGAGCTGCGCCCGCCAACGCATGCATCCAAAATGCATAATTTATTCCCACTACTCCACGTTGACGTCGGTAACCATGGCAACAGTCCATCAATTCGCTATGGTACTACACTGATACAATAATTATAGCGCGCATTTATTATATGATGGGGGAAAACCGTATTATTCGTATTGTACACGTCCGGCTCGTCCGTAGCTAGTTAAATTGTTCGCTCACAAACTTTATTACTGCATTTGTGTTTGACTATTCTATTTTAATAAATTTAGGAGTTAAATAAAATTACTGATTAAGTATATGGAAATACTAATTTGTAGATGACTCTTGCTACTTCTGCTTTTTAACATTATTATAAAATATTTTTATAGAAGTATTAAATGTTCTTAAAATATATTTACAACGTTGTTAATATTTTTTAGCAGTATGCTTACATAAATCTGTTGAAATTTAAAGTTTATCGATTTAAAAAAAAAAAAAAAAAAAAAAAAAAAAAATAAGCGAGTAATCTATTATTTTGCCCACCTCTACCTGAAATATAGAGATATAATAGAAGTTGCGATCACGGTAATAAAAAATAATCGATTAACCAAAGCAATTAATTGAAAATAATCGATGAATCTAAATTATCGATCAATCGAAAATAATCGATTAATTGAAAAAATCAATTAATCGAAAATAGTCGATTAAACGTTTATCGATTTAAAAAATATATCGATTATTTTGCCCATCCCTAGTCATAGCTTGATTTAGAAACATTTTTTGTGGATCACTTTTTAAACACGTAGGATTTACATATTTCTACGAGACAACCATGTTCTGTAAGAGTTCTAACAACCTTTATAGTACTTTTTTTGCTTGTTGGGTACAATCGAACATTATTTTTTCTACGACTAGAAGTTGCTGGTTGAATCTAGATTGACTGGTTTCTATGTTTGACTTAATTACGGAACTGGGATTCGGGACCCGATAAAATAACTTTATTAAAAAAAAAAAAAATTATATAAAACTTGAAAAGAATTATTTAATATTATAGTTGTGTATTTTAAATTAATTTTTATTTGAATTTATCAAAAAATATCGATTTCCTACTTTCACTAATTTTTACAACTGATTCTATTCTAGTGTATTAACTAAAAATCTTTATTTCTAAATCATGGATCCCTACCATTCTTAATTCCGAAGATAAAGGGTTAAAAAAATAGTTTTATTGATTATTTATTTGCAGAATTTTTGAATGCCACTCTCAAAAATGAACTTACGTTATGCTTTCTTCATTTGCGCCCGTGATTTGGACCAGTCTTTCTTTCGCACCCGGGTTTACTACAAAAATAAATCAAATTCCATAAAAAAAAATACAATTAAATTAACGACTGTTAACGTTTTTTAATCAATTCAATAATGACGAGCATATTACATGATCTTATTATATGAAGTGCGTTTAAGAAAAATGTTTTGATGATCTAATGGCATTACTGTGCTAGTTTTAGTAACATTCGCAATAACGCAAAACGGATTTTTTTTAGTAAAATGCTTTTAGTTAACAAAAAATATAAAACATTATTTGGTTCAATACAGTACACGCACAACATCGACCACAACCATAATATACCAAACGGCAGCGATTCATGATAATTATTAGATGCGTTGAAAATCGGCGTTAGGTTTTAATTAAAAGAAAAAATGCGTTAGAATGACAGTAAAAAAAAAGATAGGGACAGTTAGCCTTCACACACGATAATGTTTACCTCTTTGAAACGATATTATCGTTTCGCTTAACTCCTCTATCATGTGCACTCGTCTCCCTTTGATACCCATTACTACAAAACCAAAATAACAGTAATAAAAAGGGAACAGTGTACTGGCAACGATAATACCTCTACGCTGACTCTTAATTTCTATTTACTACTAGATATATACATGTTTCACTTCTTTTGAAACTATTTTTCCATCTTTATTCTATGAACAACGTTATATATTTTACTTGATATCTCAAAAATTAGAACATATAGAAAATAAAGGTTTTGACCTCTGAAAAGAGCGAAAAATTCGCTTCAATACGTTAAACTTTTAAGCTTTAAATATTGACGATATTATTTCTACGATCAACTAAAAAATAAATATTGAAATTTCTATATACACTGTGCGTCAGAGAAAACGGACCACCCAAAAAATTTACGAAATTATCTGTTTTGTTAAGTTTCTTTTTTTAATTACGTAAAACGGGTTAGTTTGCGTACTTGCGAAGTCATGCCGACCCTGTAAAGATCATAAATAAATTTTCGGAACCGAGTAAACCAAAAAAATTATCAGAATACTTTTTTACCCGTCAATTAAATTTCATGAAAGTGACTGTTTTGAGAACTTTATGACTTTATGAACTTGGTCTTCGTAGAGTAAAATGTAATCCATAATAATGGATGAAAAATATCGAAGAGCTATTCAGATTGTAACATTATTGGAAAATCGAGCAAGTCAACGGGATGTGGCGAGACAATTAAATGTCAGTCGTTCGACTGTGCAAAGAACGGTTTCTTGCGACCGGCTCTTATCACCAGCGACCCCCGATACAGGTGCTAAAAAAAACAACAGCCAGGGAAGATCGCTTTAGTCACCATTGCTACTTTACGATACCGAACCCAAACTGCTAGAAGGCTCCAAAGCAGTCTTTAGCTCATGGAACGGCAGTCAGCACTTATACTGTTCGGCGAAGATTGAGAGAAAGTGGTTTGACAGCTTACAGTCCAGCTACAGGACCCTTGCTTACTGTAGCACATCAAAGACGCAGACTTGCTTTTGCGCTTGGGAACATATGAATTGGACAGTGGACGATTGGAAAAATGTACTGTTCACGGATGAGTGTAGAATGTGCATATATGGAAAAGATGGCCGAAATAAGGTTTACAGAAGAGCTGGAGAACGTTATGCTGCCTGTACTCAGTCACCTCGAGTTGCTTTTGGGGGTAGCTCAGTAATGTTTTGGGCAGGAATTTCTTTTTAGGCACACACGGATTTCGTTATTATTGCGCATTAACATCACAATATATAACAGAGCTCCTGGAAGAACATGTAATGCTGGGTTTGTTGGCAATGATTCACTGCTAATGCACGACCACACACGGCAAGGATGGCAACACAATACCTTGAAGAGGTTGGTATTCCCAAAATCGATTGGCCTCTTCTAAGCCTGGAACTTAATCATATTGAGCATGTTTGGGACCAGCTCAAAAGACGTGTAAGACGTCGCATACCTGTTCCAACAACACGCGAAGAACTTCGATTGGACCTTTTTGAAGAATGGACCACTTTTCCTCAAGCAAACATTCAGACCTTGGCTGATTTCTATGCTAAATCGAATGAGGAGTGTTATCTATAATCGGGGTGGCAATACGCCGTATTAAAGTGATCCTCACCATTTACTGTCTCTTTAATTTTATTATTGCAAAGTAAACTGTAACTAATTTTTCAATAAATTTATCATTTTTAAATTTTTTTGCTTTCTTTTCGTTTGTGACTCATGGTAACATCGGATAACATGGTAAAACAATTACTGACTTAATACACAATAGATTTATTGTTATAAAAATAAAATATATTTAAAAAAGATTTTAAATTTTTTAGGTGGTCTGTTTTCTCTGACGCGCAGTGTATATATCGATCTATATATTCGCAGATATCTTAAAAAGTAGAAAAGATAGAAAATAAGGATTTTGTCCAATGAAAAGAACGAAAAATTTTCTTCAATACGTAAAATTTTTAAGCTTTAAGTATTAACGATACTATTTCCACAAACGACTAAAAAAATAATTTTTAAATACTGAAATTTCTATGAACATCGCTCTATATTTTCGCTGATATCTCAAAAAATAAAAAAGATCGAAAATAAAAGTTTTGACCACTGAAAAGAGCGGATAATTTGCTTCAATGCATAAAATTGTTGAGCTTTAAATATTGACGATACTATTTCTACGATCGACTAAAACATTAATATTTTAATACTGAAATTTCTATGAACAACGCTTTATATATTCGCCGATATCTCAAAAAATACAAATTATAGAAAATAAAAGTTTTGACCGCTGGGCAGCGAACATTTTCTAGAATATGTAAAATGTTAAGTTTTAAATATCAACGAATAACTAAACAAATTTTTTTTTTTCTACTTACATAAATTATTCGGAACATCGTCTAACTCATTCGCGGGTTTTTCCAACGATGGAAAGAGCAGAATACAAACATTTTTCGGGTTTTATTTCCTTTAAATACCATATTCACGTGGTATTCGAAATGTCATATCGAAAATTAGCTATCAAAAAAGGTGAAACAGTAGTAAATGGATTAAAATCCAGGACACAGTAGAGGTACCGAATTGATACATTATCAAAAATCATCGTTTAACTAAAGGTATTTTAAAATTTTGACTAACTATAATATTTAAATGTAAAGCTGAAAATACCTTGGATTCCTCTACAACATCCTGTATTATTGTATAAAAACAAAAAGTAACATGCTTCTGTATCCCTCAACAAATACAATTTACCCCTTTTGACCATGCATTTTCCTTTTTTTTTTTTCATTCATTAAAAAAAAATGTTTTCCAATATTAAAAAAAATAATAATAAAAACAGACACTTTACCTTTTCCAGAGTCAGCATTTCTAATCACCACCTCGTCCTTACAATATTTTTTACCAGGAATCCTGGTAGGATTCGCGAACTTCCCAGAAGGTTTCAGTACTTCCCCGGGTCCCAAAATTGGCGGAGGAGAGGAGGTGATCGACGCAGTCAGGGATTCATTCAAACTAGATATCGATTCTGACATATCTATCTGCAACATTATAGACATTCGTTGTAATATTAGAGTTTTTTGTGTCTATCAGTATAGGGAAGCGTTGCTATCAATCATATTCAAAGTATTCTTACATGTGAATTTCCGAACTGGTTGATCTTTTTCTTGTAGTACAAGTTCATGCCGTCGGTGCCCTTCCATCCCTTGGCCCTGAGTTCGATGAGTTCGAGCAAGTGGAGACGCGACAACATGTCCACTTGGATGTCGTCCTGAGCCTTGTCGCGGAATATCCTGAACGCGTGGTCGAGTTGCTCCTTGTAGAGGATTTCCAAATATACGCCATACACCTATTTCGAAAATCATCGTTACATCGTTACAGGTGACTCGTTACAATGATTATTATACTATTAGAATAGGTTACATCCATCTACCATGCATTTTGAAAACAACAGACTCTCGATACAGCAATAAACTACATTAGTCATTACGTCATAATGCTCAAAATTATCACCATCCATGTAGTTTTAAAACGTATTCAACGTGAGAACCTCAAATAAATTTAGTTTTATAAACTGTATACGAGTACATTAGGTCGAAATAAAGGCCCCACATTTTATTAAATTGTGAATTTACACATAAGATATAAATGTTTCTTTGTATTAAGTCAGGGGTCGGCAACTTGCGGATTGCGAGCCGCATGCGGCTCAGTAGAATCATAATAGTGGCTCTTAAGTCGTTTAATAGTGTTGACAAATTAGCTGTCATATTGCCATTGCCAAACAAATTTTAATAATCCCGCGCACATATGAAAATGAGCAGCAGATCACATACATGTAAACCTAGCTTTAGCACTAACCGTTATATTATTTATTCTAATATTACCGATGTATGTACTTAGGTTACCGACCCCTGTCCTAGGTCATATTCTAAAAAGATGTAGAATTAGCTGAGATTAGAATCATTATTATTTATTCTTACAGAGAACATAAAATCCATAAAAACACGCGTCGAATTCTATACGACGTCATATACTATGGAATTACCTATTTTTAGGGGTCTTGCACGTCACACTACTGAAGTCTATTACCATTACAATCTGTACTTCTAGCCATGAACAAAGGCAACACCGCAGCGAGTAAAAGCATCTACTCGTTACAAAGTGAGGTGAAATAGTTACATTCATGTTCTATATTTAGCCCATTAAAAAAGATTTTAAGATTTTCAACTATTTTAACGCATCAGTCATTATTCAAGGTTAATTTTCGTTTTAAAATTTGACACTCAATCCTCGAAACTTTCGATAATATCGGCCTTTTCAAACACATCACTTAATTTATTAAAACGTCCCTTTTTTCTTTTAGTATGTAATTTTCTGGCAGTAGGTGCAGGTTTTGACAAATATTTTGGCAGATTTGGGAAAATACATTTGGTTTAAGCTTCACTTTAACAGGAATTTTTATTAAATTTCCATCGAATTGCAAATACTTATAATTACGTATAATTTTACTTTCAGAAAGTGTTTACAACAAACCACTGCTGTTTTTGAAGGAATAAAGTTAACCCTATAGGAATTGCATTTAACTATTTTTGTCTTAAATTATCTTCCTTCGGAAATTGAAAAAGAGATTAGCTTTCCAATAATTATTAAAGTTATTATCTACCTTGTAACGGGTTAACAACGGACCACCAGACGCTTTTTAAATGAAATGATTAAAAGTCGGGTTAAATACACCACGGGAAGATATTACAATGCGAGAACTACAGGTGTATTAACACTTTATTTCGGTAAGATTACATAGTTTATCACAAAGAAATATTCACAAACTTTCAACTTTGTTAATACACACTTTTAATAACTAATTAAAGAAACAACTGTTTTAAATTCACTTAATCCGAACGTTTTTCGAAAACAAACAAAAAATCGCTGGCAAAGCAACTAAACGTCAGTGGAATGTACCGAAAATGGACTTAATCGCCGCGTTGCCAATTTTCTTGCTAGGCTAGAAAGTAGAGTCGGTAATGGCAATGCATTTAAATGTGTATAAAATTGTAATTTCTTTAAATTCATTCATTTTTTGTCCGATATTTTGAATCTTCCTATAAATGTCAAAGGTTTCTTGGCACCTTTTTAATGAGCACTACGCAACTTTTATCTAATTTTACAAACTTTCTATCGGTTCTTTTTAAGTAATAGCAATACTGTTCCTATAAAATAGGGGACCCTGTATATTAAAATTTTTAAGTGTTTTTATCTCGGTTTATACATTCCTGCATGGAACAGGATGTGAACCTGTTGATAAGAAAAATGCATTTGTTTTGAAATTCTTATCACAAGGCTAACCAAAACATAAACCAAATTTGTGGGAAAATTAAAAGATATTTAGTTTTACAAGAACTATAATTGAATCGCTATTTGAAAAGTACCTCTGTATTTCTTCCACTTTATATACATGAGAGAGAAAAGAGGGTGAAAAAAGAGTAAAGTAGAAATATGGCTGCTAATAACCCTGTCCCTTTCATGTAACGAGGGAAGTTTAATATTTTTCCAAGAGCCAGCAACAAAATTTTAGTCAACAATCTATTTTTGTTTTTTTTTAAGTAGATGATCCCTTTTCACTGGGGTTTCCTGTATATTTGAGATTCTTATAGCTACAATTTTGATAAACTTGTCGAATGGCATGATTAAGAAATTTTTTCTCTAAAAATTTTGTTTACTTAAATGAAAACTACTTTTACTCCAATTTGTTTAATGTTATTAATTGTTTTGTGAAGTTTTCTTTGGTATTAACTAATCTATGGATTACGGAAAAGCATATTTGTATGCTATCAACTTTTGTTTATATGGATGAGATAAACTATTACTTATTGTAATATCAGTATGTGATGGCTTATGAAATATTCAGATATAACAGGAGATGTAACTACAAAAAAATATTGTGCTGTAGTGAATAAGACAGATAATAATGTCTTTCATTATTTCTATAAAAATTACAAAACAAAATATAGATATTTTATAATAAAACGAAATATAGAAATAATGGGCGAAGTTCGTCCTTTGTAAATGTTTGATTATTTACAGAGCATGTTCTACTACTTAACCCTTCTAAGGAACACAGGAGGGTATAATATCCGCTGTTGTCAGGCGTATTTTGTTTTGTTTACAAAATTATTTACATATCTTAAAAAAACTAAACTAATTTAACTTATTTTATCGAAAACGAATCCAAAAAAATTTGAATCATTAGTTATATCAAATTTAACTTAATTAAATGTAATTTCACTAAAATAGATGTAATAATTTTTAATTCCAAAACCTAGTTGATAAAAAACATTTTTCAGACACAAATAAATGGTTCATAAATTATCTCAATTAGTATCAGGCTATCTACAGGGCAACTATTAAGGGTGCTAAATAAAGTTACTATCAAAGAACAATAAATAATTCGCGTAATAGGCAAACAGAAACTTGGACAATTGCAAATAATTTAAGAGAAAAAAGTAGTAATAAAAACTCCGGGCTATCTACAGGGCAACTATTAAAGGGTGCTAAATAAAGTTACTATCAAAGAACAATAAGTAATTCGCGTAATAAGAAAACAGAAACTTGGACAATTGCAAATAATTTAAGAGGAAAAAGTAGTAATAAAAACTCCAGGGATACAGATTTATATCCTGATACACTAAATAAATTCTACAGCTCTATCGCTTCTAAATTATGGTTTATTTTCTACAACTGATCCTATGACATTTTTAAACTATTTTAATGTTACCGAATCCTTTTATTTCAGCCCCATTTATCTCCAAGAAATCAAAGATACTCTTATCAGTATTAAAAACAAAAATGCAGCTGGATGGGATGATATCTCATCTAAAATATTTATGCTTTTATCTGACGATGTTCTCAGAGTCTGTGCTGAAGCTATAAACGTATCTTTCACATTGGGCCCTTTTAGCAATTGTTTAAAATTTGCTAATGTAATACATATACTTAAGGGTCCGTCTTCTCACCTTCAAATAAAGTTCCAGATAACTAACTGACGGATATACGAGTATTATCTGAGAGTTACTACCTGTCAGATAATAAATTTTCTCTTAAATAATATGTAAGGTAAGTATCCAGTACTTTTTAATCTTGTGGTTATGTAGCTACCTGTTTGTCCATCAGTGAAGTATTTTATCAAGAATATAAGTTATCTTTCAGAAGTTAGGTTTATCCAGAAGTGAAAAAAATTCGTTTTAAGTTATTTGGAAGATAAAAATTATCTGACACTTTATCTGAAGGTGAAAAGAACGACACTAAGAATGGGGATTGTAATCAGTATTCTAATTACAGACCCATATCTTTGCTTTGAACCCTGACCAAAATTAAAGTTTGTGAAAACAGGTATTTTATAATTTTTAAATCAACATCTACTTTTTTCTTCAAATCAATTTGGTTTAAGAATATGTGTGTAGATTATAGCAAGCACTAAAGTTCCTTATATAAGTTATACTGTCATAACCTGGTGAGGTGTTTTTGCAGTCACATATTACATCATAATATGCATCTTCATCTATTTCGTCTAGGTTTATTATAGGAGGGTTCCTTAGAGTTTCTCTGTACCAGTCATTAATTATTTCTCAGTGTTGGTTATCAAAATGAATATCGTCATGAGCTGTATAGGTTGATTCAATATTGTAGGCAAATATATCTGCAATATCTTGTGGATAAGTATACCAATGGCCATTTTCTTCCAAGGAAGACGCTTAACTGTTGTTTGTAGCGGGACAATTTCTTAATCTCTAGCCAGTATCTCTTTCCTCTTAAGTCCTTGATTCGTCTACACTCTACAGAATTCCAATCATTTATGATTTTTATACTGTCTTTGTTCAATTTGTTTTTTTTTTAATTTGGTGCCATCGGCATCAACTACTAAGGTTATTAGTCTCGCGTTCTGTGTATGCTTTGTTACTGTTTTCCAGCGCCACTTTAGGAAAAGCACTGTTAATTAGAACCCAACAGTGAATGGTCCAGTGGGGAATCCTACCAAGGCATCAGAATTAATTTTAAATAATTAATTAAAAAAATCCCGGTCAACGGCGGGATTCGAACCTGGGACCCTTGGATCCGCAGTCAGAGACTCTACCACTGAGCCACCCACCCCCCTGTTCAATTTGTTAAATTTGGTTTTGAGTTGGGGCTGTTCAGTTGTTTTAATTTATCTGTATAGGGCTCCTTTTGTTTGGATAAGTTTTAAAATAAATAGAGGAAGTTCGTATTTAAAAAAAGGATTTGGTTTTCATTGGTGTGTTTGATAAAACTGTTTTGTGTACATGTTCAATGAAATTTGATATTTTAGATAGGGTAACTTCAGAATTGTCATTTATGTATAGTTCCAAATTTTCATTTACTTTTACCATATCACATTTTTGATAGATAACTCTCAGTTGTAGCTAAATATTTAATGCTTTTCATCTACATTTAGTGTTAGTTCCACAGATTGATGGTCAGCACATATATCTGAAATAGTATCTTTAAAATGTTCTTGTACATAATACAAATCGGGGATGGTGCTAGGATTATTTGACATTATGAATGTTGGAGGAGTTGAGATTTTAATGAAATCTAAATTACTCAGGAATTTGTTAAGTTGTGCTTTCTTATGGGGACTGCTAATATTGTCAGTAGGAGAAAGAGTGTGGCTATATGCTATGAAGATATGTAGTTTCAAATTTCTAAATGGCATTGTGAAATGGAGACATTCGCTAGCTGGATCGTTATTCTCAGAGCATTTGCTATACCTAAATTCATTTGTTGTTTTGCTTGTACCATAGATCCCCCTCTTATATTTGTATTTAAAATATTTACTTTTCTATGTATTGAAACCCAGTCTGAATAAGGCTATATGAACTCTTTTAATTTGGTTTCAATAAACATTGCTACCATCTATGTTATTATTTTGGATATAATGGTATATAAGATTTTTTTGGGTGTAAAACTATTTATGTTTGAATACAACATTTTAACCAAATTGAATTTGCTGACCTTCTATGGGTTGTTTAGGTATAGTGGTTGAATCGGAATCCTCCATATCAATCATAAAAATGTAGACTCTATAGCCTGAAAAAATGGCTGTCATGTCTATTTTGTAGAGTTCGATAATCTTTTTTTTATTTTATTAACTAATTCTTACCAATCAGTGTTTTTGAGTTTGTTTCATTTAGTAATACAGGTGCCAATGATATTGTCGTGTATAGTGACTGAGTTATGAATTCTACTACTTTTCTTAACATTCTTTACAATTTCTGCAGACTTTTTGTTAATACTTCTGATTTTCACATTAGAAATCCCCTCAATAGAGGCAGTAGGTCTTTTAGGACATTTCAGCGACCTGGCTTCATGTTCTTCTGCACTTTTTTTAGGCAGTGGTGACTGACATTTATATGTGTTATGCAGGCCTTTGCTTTTGATAAATTTTGGAGCAGTTTTACATAGTTCAGTAGTATGATCAAAGGATTGACATTTACTGCAAGGTACAAGTACTGGTGGGGGAGATTTGCTAGGCATTACAGGATAATGACGATATTTATAGTAGAAGCCATCTTTCAATAGGGTTTCAGATGTACGTGGTAGGTTTTACAAAACATGTGTTTTAGATTATGAGTGTTTAAGTGTTCACTAACAGCTGTGTTTCCTCAATTTAATGCTCCAAGGAGGCAATGATCACCGAATATGATATAGATTTATTGGTGTTTGGAGCTTTTATTGTAATTATTTTTTTGAAAGCTAATAATTTATCTAGATTCTAGAGTGTCTTTAATAATACATTTTTCTTGGTTTGTTTTAATAATGAATCCAACTTTAGTTTTAATGATTTCATCTGTGGCATCAGGGTAAAGTTGTTCCCATGTATTGTACAAGTGCAGATCTAGTGCATTGTGCCTCTGCTGTTATATAGAATATGTGTTTATATTTATGTTTGTCTCTCTTAGTAGAGAGGAATAGTAAATGCCTGGTTTATTCTGTTTATTTATTTGTGTTGTGATTTTTTCAAGTTGACTTTTTGTTGGAATAGAACTTGGATTATCTTGGATGTTTTTTGTTGAGTTTGAATCTTGGCTACTATTTATAGTACTGGGGCTTGTTCCCAAAATGATATGTTCTATTTTGTTTTGACTTAAATTTGTTCCTTTTTGTTTTCTCTCTCATCCTTGTTCTTATTTCTTGTTTTCTTGAATATTTTAGTATGTCACCCTCCCTCATCAGTTATCTCCATCTCCGAATAGGAGCTTGATTCAAACTTTAGTTCTTTTACTAGCATAATATATAAAATATATTAAATTTTATTTATTTATAGGTCAGAGCTCATTAGAACATAATATAATAATACAGAATATATCACATTATTTTTAAATTATTTTCATATTCATTAAGTAATCCATTAAGTTACTTAATGTATTTTTCCTGAACACAATATTGCTATTATGGATTTAATGAATATGAAAATAATTTAAAAATAAGGTTATAATTCTTAGAAGACATAGTGGATTTTGGCAGCATATAGAGTGGAAGAAATCCAGTCAAATGATGTAAATAAGTCAAAAATAAAAAATCTGACTTAGTGTGTTTTTCTTGTGCTTATAAACCCACGATGTATTAACATTCCTAGTTGCCCTAGCTAAAGGGTACAGAGAATCCAATTTGGGATAACAAGTAGGGACAATTATGTTATATAAAACTTAAAGATCACTTGTTGAAATGAACAAGAGTAATTCTTCATAATCATTTTTGAAATTGACAGGGGTGATATAAGATTTGAATGCAACAATGTGTAAAAATTTTTTTAAACCTGTTCAAAATATAATAAATTATGGACAAATATCTTACCTTTAGGTGTTGGCATAAATTGATAACACTGTCTTTATAGGAAAGTTGGGCATCTCCTAAATTTGAAGACAGTAAAGCAGCAACTTGGTCCACAGCTTGTAAAACATCTTCAACTGAAATGCGGCGATAAGAAATAAAGCAGATAGACAAAAAAACTAGAACATTTTCACTTTTAACCTAAATTTTACTAATACAGCAAAAAACATTATTTTGAATAAGATCATTTATTAAAAACAAAAATCAAAATCAGAGAATTCTTTAATAATAAAGTGTAAAATTACTTTTAAAATTAATACAATTATTGCTTTTATATAGGTGTTAGAAATTTGCAATGTTTACACCTACACAAAAGATAAATCAGGAATGCAAGGAAGCAAATCTTATACAACAAAGATAATTCAAACAAGTAATAATAAAACTATATTTAATCAAGATTATAGTGGTCTTTAATAATTTCGTTAATTACTTACCAGCGGATAAAACTCCGTCTTGTCTCAATTTATTTGCCAAAAGTTGGGCTTGACTGTGCGATTTGGATAGTTCATGCTTTTTTGGATGTTTTAAGCGCGCAGAAAGGCTCGACATTTTCGTGCTATCCCTAAAATAAATCATTGGACATCAACATTTTTATTACGATTTATCTCAAAATATACAAAAGGTTTTTTGCGTGACTCACCAAATTGACATCTGCTATTAACTTAACACAATTTTACCTTTTTTAACAAGATTTAATACAATTACTATTGTTGTTGTGTAAAAACTGTACTTACTTGGAAAATAGGATAGTTTTTCGAGTAGAGCCCAAAATTGCTGAACGGACAAAAAATCGCAACTCGTAGCGTTCGTCTTCTCGTGGTCGTTTTTCGGTTATTTCCGATTCTTTTCGACTGGCAATCAGCTGTCCATCAACGCTTGACAACTAGACCGCTTTAATATTTCATAAAAGGCTAATATTTATATTAAAAAGAAGAATTAAATACAAATATACTGTACACCTACAAAGCGCAAGGCCAATAGTTATATTTAAAAAAAAGAATCGATTAACAGTGATGCCGTGTCGTACATGTTATCTGGAGATCTCGAGATCTTTAATGCTTTCTTTTATAACACAACACATATTGGATGTAAAGTACATTCCTAGCTCAGAGTAGTATTTTTTTGATTCAAATAATTATCTTATTTTATAATGAATAGATTAAATCAAACAAACATGTCTCAGGAATTTTATCTGTTTTATTCATAACCTTATTCTATTTAAAAGTGCTTCATTTGGCAACTTTGTCAAAAAAACTATTTGTCAGCACGTTCTACTTTCTATTTTCCGTGTGCGATTTCTGTTTCTGATATTGATATGTAATTCTCATGTATTCCGTTTTTTTTTTTTTTTTTTATTAAAATTGTAGATTTTTTAATTTTGAATTTTCTTCTGATTAAATGCATGCTGCGCCCTGGTGCCCAATAGCACAATCAGATACAAACACGTAATCTTTTTTATGTGCTACTCGTTGATTGGCTGACAAAATAATATAAAAATCACTTTCAATAAATATGTTGAGGTTATGTCTTTCAATGACTGAAAAAATATGTATTTAATTTTAATAAAAGTAACGAGACAGAGACGAATTAAATTCGCTGGGGAAGTTTTAACATGAAGAAAGACACTGCGTCTATAATACTTAATTTTATTTTAACCATTCTATTAATATATGTAACGTAAGTAGGAAAAACATTAATGTGACAGTTGTAAACAATTTTTTTTATTTTAGTCCCTGTAGTAACACGGATGATGAACAAAACGTTTCTATCTTATCAAATAGTTCAATTAAGAATATTTCTGATGTACGAACTGAATTGATTGATGAGAAAGTACCTATTACAGATCCTATTATAGAACCTAGTTTAGAAGAAAATGTTAATGTTGCCATAGATTCTGATAATGTTGGGGTGGTCAAGAACCCCGATACTGAAACTGAGAAGTCTGAATTACCAAATAGGTATGTTGTTTATATGAATACTAATTGTTAAAGTAAGTATAATTAATTGTTATCTTCAGAACTCCCAATGGTTAAATAAGCTTGATAAGGGGTTTAATACTTGATTTAAAATTCATTAATATTGAATAAATAAGTAATAAGTGGTAATTTTTTTTCTGTGAGGTTATACTGGCTATTAAAGCTTATTTAAAGTTGCTTTCCAGATGTTTTTTGTAATCTTCATAATTTCAATCATTCTTTTAACAAATTGTTTAATGCAGTAAGTTAATTTTAAATAAAATAGTATTTACGGTATTCCTTTTGTTAATTCACAATTTTAGTGTATCTATCAATGATGCCCCAGTCTTGTTTACAACAGAAAGCTCCCCTGTAGATCTAGACCACCTTTCTGACATCTCCTTAGTGATAACTAGTCAAAAGGAGGAGATTCCCACTCAGAAAGTTCCTGAGACATCTCAAAAAGTTCCTGAACCCAACGTGAACATTCCTTTGAACATCACTGCTAATGTATCAGATAGTGATGACAGGAAAGTTGCTGAGGAAGGTGCAGTGAAGGTGGAGGAAGTTGCTCAGAAAAATGATAGTGAGAGTAAGACTGAAGACATTCCTTCGTTTTCTGAATGGGCTCAAAAGAGACTGGAGGAGGTTGAGAAGAATGAGCAGATCAATTCCTCTGTTAAAGGACAGGCGGAGAGATCTAATGGTGAGTGATTTGTTTTTTAAAATATTCTAGGGTTAAAAATAATTAAATATAAGGTATATTTTGGCTTTATCAGTTTGCCTTTTAATAACTAGTACAAATATTAAATTGCTGTCTTCAGCAAAATGTTTCTACACCTTTTTTGTATATATTTTGTAAATTTCAAATTATTCTAATTACTGGTTTAGAACTAGTTAATTTTTTAAGATGGTATTGTCACAAATCTGGAAACTCATAATTTGACTTTATCAACCCTCTATTTTAAAACAAGTAAAGATATAGAAATTCTGTTTTCAACAACATGTTTCTGCAACTATTTTGTATGATTTCTTTAAATTTGAGATTAGTCTAATTACTTTTTTTTTAGCTAATTAATTTTTAAAGATTATATTGTCACATCTGAAAACCCATAAATTTGACTTTATCAATTCGCCATTTTAAAACTAGTACAGATATTGAATTGCTGTCTTCAGGAAAATGTTTCTATATCTATTTTGTATGAATTTTGTAAATTCCAAATTATTGTGATAACTATTTACTAACTAGTGAATTTTTTAAGATGGTATTGTCACAAATCTGGAAACATAATTTGACTTTATCAATCCTCTATTTTGAAACCAGTAAAGATATAGAAATTCTGTCTTCAACAACATGTTTCTACAACTATTTTGTATGATTTTTATAAATTTGAGATCAGTCTAATTACTTTTTCAGCTAATGAATTTTTAAAGATTATATTGTCACATCTGAAAACCCATAAATTTGACTTTATCAATTCGCCATTTTAAAACTAGTACAGATATTGAATTGCTGTCTTCAGGAAAATGTTTATATATCTATTTTGTATAAATTTTATAAATTTCAAATTATTGTGATAACTATTTACAAACTAATGAATTTTTTAAGATGTAAATTTACAAATCTGGAAACTCATAATTTGACTTTATCAATCCTCTATTTTAAAAACAGTTAAGATATCGAAATTCTGTCGTCAACAACATGTTTCTAGAACTATTTTGTATAATTTCTTTCAATTTGAGAATATTCTAATAACTATTTTTAAAATAATGAATTTTTAAAGATGGTATTGTCACATCTCTGAAAATGAATAAATCTGACTTTATCAGTTTGCCATTTTAAAACTAGTACAAATATTGAATTGCTGTCTTCAGAAAAATGTTTCTATACCTATTCTGTAGGATTTTTGTAAATTTCAAATTATTCTAATAGCTATTTACAAACTAGTGAATTTTTTAAGATAGTATTGTCACAAATCTGGAAACTCATAATTTGACTTTATCCTTCCACTATTTTAAAGCCCGTAAAGATCGAAATTCTGTCTTCAAGAACATGTTTCTACAACTATTTTGTATGATTTCTTTAAATTTGAGATTATTCTAATAACTATTTTTAAACTAGTGAATTTTTAAAGATGAATTGTCACATCTCAGAAAATGCATAAATTTGACTTTTTCAGTTTATAATTTTAAAACTAGTAACAATATTGAATGGCTCTCTTTAGAAAACTGTTTCTACACCTATTTTGTATGAGTTTTGTAAATTTTAAATTATTCTAATAACTATTTACAAACTAGTGAATTTTTTAAGATGGTATTGTCACAAATCTGGAAACTCATAATTTGACTTTATCAATCCTCTATTTTAAAACCAGTAAAGATATAGAAATTCTGTCTTCAACAACATGTTTCTACAACTGTTTTGTATGATTTCTTTAAATTTGAGATTATTCTAATAACTATTTTAAAACTAATGAATTTTTAAAGCTTATATTTTCACATCTGAAAACCCATAAATTTGACTTTATCAATTCGCCATTTTAAAACTAGTACAGATATTGAATTGCTGTCTTTAGGAAAATGTTTCTATATTTATTTTGTATGAATTTTGTAAATTTCAAATTATTGTGATAACTATTTACAAACTAGGGACTTTTTTAATATGTCAGTTTTACAAATCTGGAAACTCATAATTTGACATTATCAATCTTCTATTATAAACCAGTAAAAATATCGAAATTATGTCTTCAACAACATGTTTCTACAACTGTTTTGTGTGATTTCTTTAAATTTGAGATTATTCTAATAACTATTTTAAAACTAATGAATTTTTAAAGATGGTATTGTCACATCTCTGAAAATTAATAAATCTGACTTTATCAGTTCGCCATTTTAAAACTTGTATAAATATTGAATTGCTGTCTTCAGAAAAATGTTTCTATATCTATTCTGTAGGATTTTTGTAAGTTTCAAATTATTCTAATTACTATTTACAAACAAGTGATTTTTTTAAGATCGCAGTGTCACAAATCTGCAACTCATAAACCGATTTTATCAGTTTTCATTTTTAAAATTAGTAAAGATATCGAATTGCTGTCTTCAAAAACATATTTCTACAACTTTTTTATAGGATTTCTTTAAAATTGAGAATATTTATTAAATAACTATTTTTAAAGTAGTAAATTTTCAAAGACGGTATTGTCAAATCTTTGAAAATACATACTTAATTCGAGTTCGCCATTTTGAAATGAATACAAATATTGAATTGCTGTCTTTATCACAATGTTTCTTCACCTATTTTGTATGATTTTTTTCAAATGTCAAATTATTTTAATAATTATTTACAAATTGGTGATTTTTTTAAGATGGCAGTGTCACACTTCTGTAAACTTATAATTCGACTTTAGCACTTAAATGTGACTTTATCAATTCGCCATTTTGAAACTAGTACAAATATGAAATTTCTGTCATCATAAAAATGTTTCTTCACCTATTTCGTATGATTTGTCTAAATTAGAGATTATTCTAATAATTATTTTTAAATTAGTGAATTTTTAAAGATGGTAGTGTCAGTTCTGGAAACTCGTAATTCGACCTGATTAGTCTCGCCATTTTGAAACAATAATAACATTGAACCAATTATTTATTAAAATGTTTTGTATGATTTTTCTAAATTTTAAATTTACTTTTTATAGTAGAAAGCAAAAGTATTTTTATTTACATATTTTATAAGAAAAAAAGAATGTTTGGAATTTAGTTTGAACAAGGTCAAATACAAAAATATTCATTGGAAGTTCTTTTATTTTTTTATTTGCTAATCAAAACTGGTTGATACTTAATTCTGATGAACATTGTTTTTTCTTTTATCATAATTTATCTAAGCTCTTGGAATTTTTGTTATTTTAATTTCTTTATTCAAACATTTCTAAAAATTACAAAAATAAACTGTAAGAACGAGATTTAGCCTATAACTGTTTTTTCATCTAACCAATCTTTTAATAATATGAATAAAATTTTGGAACTATTATCGTCTTAAATAATTTTTAAATATCTTGTGGTGATGATGTCGACAAAATTTCTCATTATATAGGACATTTTCTACTTTTTTCAATGAAGAAAACTAGTATTTGCTATATTTCTTATGTTTCGAGATATACGTGAATGTATCAGGTGATATTGCATTAGATTTTTTTGCCGCATGTATATTTTGTCCCGACAAATACATATATTTCGCTCCTTGTAGAAATGCAAATAAGTAATAAATAATTGTCATTGCCATAAAAAATATCGCTTCGTTTTATATTTTTAAATTTTAATAACAATGAGACCAAACATTTAAATTAATAGTGACGATTGGTGTTCAAGGTTATAGCACAAATTTAACAAGTAGCCGAATTGAGTAGACGAAATGTACACAAAAAACATTACAAAATGTAATTAAGCGAAACTTGAAATGAAGGATTGAAACAAATGTTCAAATCCCAGATAATAGCTGTAGAGTTATAAATAATCAAACCGTTTTTGATTTTAATTTATGATAATACATTTTGCGTAGTCGGTTATTAACTTTATTGCCTATTGTGTCAGGGTTATCAGTCAAGATAAGTGTTTATTATGTACTTTAAATATACACGATGTCCACGTAAATAATTCGTTCCTTTTAGATACGTATACGTTTTGGTATTTGGAGTAAAAAATCGGCTCAGCCGTTTCTGTTTATTTTGAATGTTTAATTATTATTTTCGGCGACATTCTGTATTACAAGTACCTACCTAGTTTAAATGAGAATTAACGAGCGTAGTTTGGCACTTACCTACTAGAATAAATACAAATAGAAACGTCGCAATTTTTATTTAGATCATTATGTCAATAAAAAATCGTAAAACGATGCCTATCATATTGTTTTGGTCTATTATCGCTAAGCTTGTAGTTATTGAATGTTATCGAATTTTATCAGTTAGGTAATTATATGTACAAAAGTTTCTGAGAATACTGATTTAGAAGATACATAATAATAACAAATCATATATTGTTTATTACATAATATAAATGTACATCTCAGATAAATATTAAAAACCAATAATTAACGGCGGTAAATAAAAGTTCTTCTTCATCCATCTTAACCAAAAAAATGTATTATATCCCTACAGTGGCGGGTTGTCATAATTTAAAATGGGGGTTTAATTCATTCCAATAATTTTAGCAATATCCCTCCAAACTTCTTTGCATCATCCATTTTAATACAATTAAATTCAGAATTTTTTTTTAAGATTCCTGAGTCATGAAAAGATTGCTTGATAACATCACTTGGATGATCCATTACTAGAAATGGTACATTGCGCTCTACAAGCGCAGAAACTATTTTAATTTCTACCGTTTTTATTTCATCTGAAACTCTGACATTTTCGAAGAACTTGTCAATCTAAAAAAGCAAATGTTTTCCCTCTTGTTTTAGTTAGTTTTTAGAGAGGACAAACCTTAGAGCTTGCTAGTGAATCCTGAAATATCCTTTTTATACTTCGCACAAACATTATGCTCTTTTAGTGAAGCAATTCTTGATTTAATATTTTTATTACCTGACTTATACAATAGCCACTATACCCACCCTGGGCTTTGCAAAGCCAAGATAAAAATAATAGGTTTTGTTCCCATTTCGCCCGGTAGAACTGTTCAAAACTTTATTTAGACTACAGCACACTATAAGTA